TTTATGCTTTTTGTTTAAAAAATATTGATTAAGTTATTATATAGAAGGGTTTTCATACCAGAACTATTTATTACCAACGTACGTATGTCTAAACCTGATTACCGCGGCAGTATGACGTCACGGAGTAGTGATTTTGAAAAAATAACAAACAAAATCAAGAATTTTTCAGAGAATTATTATCTTTACAAATTGCAGATATGAAATAAAAGAATGAAAATATTTTCATATTGTAAATGTCTGTGATGAGTCAGCTTAGAAAAAATCAAGGTACTATCTTTGACCTGATTACCGCGGCAGTAAGATTTGACGGATGGTATTAACATTGGGGAGGCATAGCCTCCCCAAAAACGGCAAATACAAAATCTATAACAGGAGAGATTGTGGAAAAAAACGAAAATTGACGGGACGTTAGTGACCTCAATTGCAAAAGCGCTGTAAATGGATCGACGGTATACGGTACGCTGACTGTCTGGCACTTTTTTGTCTGTTGCGGGTCTACTTATTTAGTTCTCACCAAATGATTATATATAAGATTTTCTATCAAACACAATTTTATTGTATCTCATTAGATATACTTGGTTTTATTAAATCAATATAATAATGAAAAACGGTAATGATTAGTAGTAATTTCCCCCAATTACGTTTTAATAAATGATACTTATTAATTGATAAATATAGTTATTTTACTTTATATAATTTTTTGTTTTAAAAATGTACGATGACATACATGTGAAAATTAATAATATAAATCACTTGTGCACTAGCATTATAAGTCCATGATTGTTGTGTTCCCGGTTTACTCAAAATATCCATTAAAAGTGGAGAATGGCCGGCTATCGAGAGTTGAAAGAAATTGTGTTGCTTTCTGTCTCGCTTATCTTCACATATGAGACCTGATCATGGTCACATGATTCAGACACCTTGAGCACTAGGGAGAATACTTTCAGGATGGGTGACACTTGTTATATTGTGTATTTAGTTAACAACATCATGAACGTCATTCATTGTATTATCAGCGTGCGCCGGGTTTCGTACCCCTTGTCATTTGAAAATTTCACAGAATTGTTATTTGAAAACATTTTGTATCGATTTTTAACTGTATATAGAGAACATACTCCGATATTTGTTTCTTGTAAAAAAAATTGAACAACCCTCGTATTAACCCTTTTACCAAGCTGCCTTAAATGCCTCCTGCAAACACAAAATGGTCGTTACCATAAAATATATTATGCTTATAACACAATGATTAGACTGTCGATTTGAAATATCCTTACGTCATAATATTTTTTGACTGTGTCATGAAAATTGATATTTGAAAATTGGAAAAGAACATTTAAGTAACAGACAGTTTTGATTTGATAAGTTAAATGAAGATTAAGTTTCAGTTGATATCAGTTTATACGAACAGATTTTAAGGTCTGTAATACTCATTGTATCATAATCAGATCATATAATTGGAAATTTGTTGGTAGTTTCTTAATTGATCCTATAAGAGAATTAGTAACGAACTCATGTTCGTTACCTGGAATGTTATTTTCGTGATTGTTCATTTGTCCTTTATAACACATTTTTGAACATGAACGTTAACTTTATTAATGTATCAATGTTTAGTTGCTTTTCTTTCAGATAAAATTAAACATGTTCGACAATCGCAGTGAATATCTCATTTATGAGATAACGAACATTGTAAAATAATTGAAATTCTGGCGACATACATATCTTAGACTTTATTTTTTATAATATTAAGCATTACGAATTGACTGTAGACTGTAAAAACTTGTAAAAACAAAAATTGTTTCATCGAAATTACCCTCAATTTTTTTTAAAAAAGTACAGAAATAGAAGGTGCAAAAAGTGACTGGGATGAATCATGCATGTTTAACTAATACATGTATGTATCGTTGTCTAAAGGGTTGTACTAAAAGCTATGATTCTATGTTCTGTAAAAAGAAAGAAATAGATTAAATTATAATGGGTCATGTGATTGAAAACAAGCAATTATCATAGTATTGCAAGCAATCCATAAGTCCCCTACCGGTAAGAGCCCAAGCAACATTCTGAAGGGCCATTGGCCATTCACTTATGTTTCTATTTTAAGTAAATTTGTTGAAAAAGTTCTTTAAAAGTGATCACAGTGAACAGACAGACAGACGGACTGAAGGACAGTCTAAAGTTATTTTTTAAACATCCCTGTTATCAAAATATAACATTTTAAAAGCAAAATTTAAAAAAAGGAGATAACAATGTCATACATGATGTGAGTGTAACAAAGAACAATTAGTAATGAATATTGAATATTTATTTTGAAATTGAAGTAAATGAAAGTTAAAAGAACAAATAGGAAAAATTAAAAGTTTAAGGAGGAGATAATTCTGGAAATATGGATGCTAGATTTATAAACCTTGTCATATTATAATGATGTGAGAGTTTGAAGAAAATTCTATCATGATTGAAGAAGTTGGAGTAAAAATTACCAATTTCTCAAAAAAAGTCTAAGTTCAAAAGGGGCATAATTCTGGAAATAGTCTTGCTAGAGTATTGAACACTCACAAATGTTGAGTGATAATAAGAAACATTTATATGAAGTTTGAAGTAGATACGTCCAGAAAAAAAGAAGTTATTAAAAAAACAATGTTTTTTTTCATGAAAATTTTAAGTTCAAGGGAGGTAATTCTGATAAATTTTGTGCTAGAGTTGTAAACTTTGTCATATATGATGTGGTTGATGACTAGCAACTTATTTTTAAAGTTTGAAGAAAATACCTTAAGAAATAAAGAACTTATAGTGAAAAAAACTTAAAAACTAGAATCAGAAATCTTGAAATTCAGTCTATTTGTTGCCATAGCAACCAGAATTTTCAACACAGGAAGATAAGAAAAGGATGTGCATAATTTCCATACTGCCATCTACCCATATGTCAAGTTTCATAAAAAATATTTTCAATACTTTTTGCGTTATCACTGGATCCAGGTTATGTGTAAAATCTGCCATATTTTCAGTCTATTTGTTGCCATAGCAACCAGAATTTTCAGCATAGGAAAAAAAGAAAAAGACGTGCATAATCTCCATACTGCCATCTATCCATATATCAAGTTTCATAAAAAAAAATCAGTACTTTTTGTGTTATCGCGGGATCCAGGTTATGTGTAAAATTTGCCATATTTTCAGTCTATTTGTTGCCATAGCAACCAGAATTTTCAACATAGGAAGAAAAGAAAAAGACGTGCATAATCTCCATACTGCCATCTATCCATATACCAAGTTTCATTAAAATATTTTCAGTACTTTTTGTGTTATCGCGGGATCCAGTTTTGTGGACGGACGGACTGACGGACGGACAGACGGACAGACAGACGGACAGACGGACGGAGGGTAAACCTAAAGTCCCCTCCGGTAGACCGGTAGGGGACTAATAAGTGTAAAGCGAAAGTAGGTGACTGTATCGTATGTGTTTATTAGTTAATATATCCAGGGCGTATTAAGCTTGTGTTTTCTGTTGCTTTAAAATTAGATTGATAGATTTAAATATCCTGTTAAGTTTTCTATCAACAATTGTTGTATTGCACAACAAGAGATGTCAGTAGAACAGCGGGCTCGACTACCCTCTGGACTTGATGGTAAAAAATGTAATAATTAACAAAGAGGAATATTTTGTTGACAACAAATGACATATATAACAGTCTTTGGCACTCACAAAAACTTTTTTGTCTTTAAAGGGCATATTACATTCAAAATCCAGGTCAAAATACTAATAATGGGTCTTGGAAATTGACCCTAAATTGTAACTGTGAAACATGATTTAAGGTTCAAGACGTTTTTGAACGATTATCGTCGCGCCATTTTGAGTTGTTGGCCTCCAATAATGGTTACGAAGACATGTATTAAGTTTTAAGTGAATACCTTCAGCACTTTTGAAGACTGATGTTGTATGCAAAACCAAGAATTTTCTAGGTTTACAAAAAGGGCATTACTCATTCAAAATTTGTGACAGAATTATGAGCTTGCGATAATGACCTCCAATTATGATTAGCAAATAATCTATAAATAATAATAATCTAAATAAGTGAATGATGAGATGTATAATATGATTATATAATCTATAAATAGCACTGGATTGCCTTTGGCTAAGAAGTAACTTTTTGTAAAAAAAAGCAGGTCAATATCAGAGATTGTACACTTTAACGGTGACGCCGACGTCATGTTGAGTAAGATAGCCTAGCTCTAGCTTCGAAATGGTCGTTAAATTATGTCTGTCTAGTAGGCTTATTAAATAAATACATTTTTCTCAGTTTTTGCAAATCTTTGACAAGAAGGATTTTTCCCGACAGAAATCCATTGTCAGTATCGCGTTCTAGTGGCTGGAACATCAAATTCTGTTGTTAAAATAAGATCTGATGATTATGCGGACGTTTCTAAATAAATGAAAAGAATGTATTTATTAAGTTGTAAGGATTCATATATTGTCCCTTACAAAGTAAAAGAATAGACTATAAACATGTGGTTTATGTACAGACTCAATCAAACCGAGTCTGCAATTTTCAAGTAATTTTGTTTTGATTAATGCTTCCGAGGGATCACTTTGTTTCCAGGTTTATGAACAAATACAATGTAAAATGCCTGCGTTATTTCTCCGTAAGTTAGCAATAAATGTATAGGAGTCTCTATCTTTCTTAAAGATATCTCGTCAAGGCATCTTTAAAAAGGAAATAGAACAATTTACTATATATACAGTGTTGTTAAGTGTGTGTTATAAATGCAAACAGCCTGAAATCCGAATATGTGTATGATAAAACGTTAAACCAAACTTTAGCATAATTATATATGTATAATACATGGTATAATATATTTATCAAATCATGGACTCATGAAATATATTAACCCGTTATGTATTGTATTTTATAAACGGTATCCCAAGATAAATATAGATAGTTACACTTTATTTAGTGGTGTACACCCTTCAACAAGTAAAGTTTATATTGACTTCAAATAATTTACGTATAACCTTACATGTTTACAGTATATGTATGAAAATTTGGCAACTTTCGATAGTAAATAATCGTCATCCTAACAAAGAGAGATAAATATTTCAGCACCTGTGTTATTTATTTTATCATAATGTAACCAGGAAGTATAGATCGTGGGAGGTCAAATTATAGTTACACTGTAAAACTCCCACAAAATGGCGACAGACAAGGACATAAAGTCGTCTGTTCTTGCTAGTTCAGAGGAGATTTTTGATACATATTGCTCACCGTGTTCGGAATCTGGGAAACTTATAGAAGCAGTTAAGTTTTGTGTGGATTGTGGGTCGTATTTCTGTTCTAAATGTCTCAAGTATCATAATAAATTTCCAGCACTAAGATCACACCAGATATTAGACAAATCTGATAAAATCAGATCAGATGGAAATATTGAAACAGAACCCGGACTACCAACAGAAAGGTGCGCAGTTCATCATGGCAAGTTAGTGGACATGTTTTGTAAAGACCATGACGAAGTTTGTTGTGCAGCATGTATAGCTATAAAACACAGGTAAATAAATTGTTCATACAACATTAAAATCAATAATTTTTATTATGTTAATTAAGTGATACAATTGATTTGCTGAATTAAAATCAAATATTTCTACGTGACGTGTTGTATACGATGTAACGTTTCACTAGTTGATTGTGACACTTTTGATACAGTTTAGTACAATTATATTGCTGAATCTATAAATAATTAACTAATATTTAAGTTAAATTACCTATTATAGACCATATGCGAAGATATAAAACATAAATATATTCATTACAATTCTAAAATTAAACGTGAAACATGATAATTCAACACGTGTGGTGCAAATTTTGTGCTCGTCTTCCATTCAATATAATTATCGTTGTTTGGGTTACAAAAAACTTATCACATTGCCATGGAGTAAGTGAGGCAAACAATATTTTAACCTCGCTAGAAATAATATGCAAACTTTATGTCGGAAAGAATTGATACTTAAAATGTCTGAAAGAATTGATACTTAAAATCTAAAAACAGGTAAATGCTTAAGTAGATTGTGAAACCAAAATATATCAATATTTCAGGTCATGTATAAATGTTGATTATCTACCCGACGTTGCCCAGGGAATAAACAACAGTGATGAGTATGAAAAAACTAAATCATCACTCGAGAATGTTCTCATCGAATTAAGAGGTGTGATAGAAGCTAAAACAGATAATCTCAAAATACTTCAGAGGATAAGGAGCAGTTATTTGAAGATATAGAAAACTTGAAAACAGAAATTCTGATGAAGATTGAAGAGCTGGTAGAAACTTCAAAACAACAAGTATCATTGAAGTATGGAGAAGTAAAGAAACATATCCAGTCAGATCTAGATGCTTTAAATACTATTTTAACAACGACAACAACAGATTTCCGGAAACTGTCAGAAAAAAATGAATCCCAGTTGTTTGTAAATCTTAAAGCAAGTAAAGTTTCTATCAGGGATTGTGAAACTTTTTTGAGTGAATTATCAACAGGTAAAGTAAATGAGAAGTTGGGATTGATGGCGAATAACAATCTGAAAGATAAACTAAATGACATTGAGAGTTTAGTTGTTGACATTGGTGTGAAGGAATACAAAGCAACACTTTCTGGAAAATACAAGATCGATCCGGAAAATTGTGAGGTAACTGGTATATGTGCTATGGATGATGGTTCATTTGTCATTGCCGATTACACACATTCAAAACTGAAGCGACTGAATGAAAAATTCACGGTAACAGATTCCGTTACAGTTGGTGGAAATCCATACTCAGTATGCAGAATAGGGCAAAACGAGGTTGCAACGTACATATGTGGTAATGGTCATATACAGCTTATTTCGCTCGGAAAAACTATGCAGTTGGCATTGACAATAAATATCGGCAAGTGTAATGATCCTGTTGGTGTTTGTTATGATACAACGCTTGACGGAATCATGTTATGTGAAAGTAATAAAATATCAGTATATAGCAAGTCCGGTAACTTAATAAAAACACTTGAGAAGAATAAAAATGGTGACCAGCTATTTACAAAAGCAACACAAGTAGCAATGAACACAAATACTAAGATAATGGTTGTTTCAAATGGCGACGGAAATAATGTGAAGGCATTGACAAGAGATGGTGAAATAGTTTGGACATTTAGTGATCCAGCATTGCAGAGACCATGGGGAGTCTGTATCCTGCCTGGAGACATAATCTTAGTCAGTGGACTTAGCTCAAACACTGTACTGCAGGTTAACAAGAAAGGTAAAATGATCAGTGAACTGTTGGGAGGTTCTGAACAACTAAACCAACCGTTTGCATTGGCTTTTGACAAGATGAGTTCTCGGCTGTTAGTAGGGTGCAGTTCGAACGAATTATGCGTGTACACGTTAACTAAGACATAAGTTATACTTGGGGGATAATCAGAAACACAATTAACTGGGTGTGACACTCTCATTATAGTTCTGTGACGAAACAAATGCTCTTTGTTTCAGTAAATATATTCAAATAACAGGAATGTCTTGCTATCTCTTGCCTCTGATAGTGTTAATTGATAATTTTCAAACTGATATCTCTGTTAGATAAAACATGTGAAGTGTCACAAATAGAAATTAGTGTCATATTATTTTTTTTAATATCTTTATTTATTCTCTACTTAAAATTTAAGATATTTGAGTTATACACTCCATAAAAGGATACACAACACAATATCTTTATTTCCGATATAAATGTGATTTTTGTTAAAACGTTATATCTGATAATAAAAATTATTAATATATCCGTTAATATTATTAATATATTAATTAATCAATAACAAATAATGAAATTTCATGCGTATTTAAATAACGGTCATTAATATATTGAAAAAAATCTACCCTGACATTGGACGCAAATTGTCGTCTCACGCTAAATGGCTTGGACATCAAAGACTTTTGTTTACATAATTATGCGGGCGTTTCTATATAATGAAATGAATGTATCGAAAGTTGTATTTACTTATGGATTCATACACTATCCCTTACACAGTAAAATTATTGAATATATACAATGTAAAATGCAAATTTCTCCGTAACTTAGAGTGTAATACATACCGACAAAAAAATGATGTTCATGATAATATATTAAAGGTAAAAAGTCACATATAAATAAAACCAAAAAAAAAAAACACAGTCCATGAGTTAACTTATTTAATTATTTAGGCCTACCTATGAATAAATATTGACCTATAAATAATTAAATAATTTAACTCATGGACTGTGTTTATATATAATTTTATTATATACCTATAAATTTTCTCCCTTAAATACACGCCGATATTGAAGCGCAAATACGTTTCATCGGATAGAAATTTCCGTATTATGTTAGTGACAAATACGGTACCATATATGGAAGTGACGGACTATTTTTGACGTTGGTTCCGATCTTAGCTTTGTATAACGTTGCATTTGGAAACGGGAACCAAAATTATTAAAGGCGTGGCCGGTTTTCAAGAATTACGTATTCATCCGTCAGTCATGAATTTATTTCTTGACAACTACATTGCATTTTCTTAATAAAACGAAAATGTATATAATAAAAGGAAAATTATGTTGTAGTAGCGTTCTGAGACTATGTATTTTTCTACTTAGTTTTAACAAAATTATTTATTATATACCTATAAATTTTCTCCCTAAAATACACGCAAATATTGAAACGCAAAAACGCTTCAACGGATAGAAATTTCCGTATTATGTTAGTGACAAATACGGTACCATATATGGAAGTGCCGGACTATTTTTGACGTTGGTTCCGATCTTAGCTTTGTATAACGTTGCATTTGGAAACGGGAACCAAAATTATTAAAGGCGTGGCCTATTTGCAAGAATTACGTATTCATCCGTCAGTCATGAATTTATTTCTTGACAACTACATTTCATTTTCTGAATAAAACGAAAAGGTATATAATAAAAGGAAAATTATGTTGTAGTAGCTTTCTGAGACTATGTATTTTTCTACTCGCAACGTTGGAAAATTGATATCTCGCTCGACCTTCGGTCTCGCGAGATATTAATTTTCCACCGCTGCTCGTAGCAAAATACAGAGCCTCAGAAAGCTACTACAACATAATATTCCGTATTTATCCATGAAATATGGTGCTATATCTGTTAAATATATTTCACATTTTTTTAAAATAAATATAAAATATAAATATGAAAGTAGGCAAAACTCATATTTATTTTATGGGACTTCTTTCGCCATTTTGTTTGAAAAATCTGATAAATACAAAACAACTTTTGTTGAATTATGTTTTGAAAACTATCTAGAATGATAGAAAATGGTCTAACTAAGAAAATAAATCCGAACACCAATGTCTTTAATTCAGTCATTAACGCTATACAGACGTTTAAAGAGTTGTTTTCGTGACGTCACAATGTTGCGCCAAAAATCGTGTGCAACTATAAATAATATATTACTGCGCGCTGTACAATTGCAGCAAGCAATTGGGTTCATAACCATTTTTCTTTGATAATGAAATTAAATAAAAAAAAATGTTATTTTTTCGTTTTTCGTGAAATATGGTAAAAATACTCAAAATGATAAAATGCCACATATTTTCACTTTGACTTTTCAAATGATTTACATACAAAACTGTATATTTATAATCTAACTTGTTAACAGCACATGTATGAACGTGTGGCAGCTTTCGACAGTACTTAGTTATTCGTCGTCATAAAAATGAGATAAATATTTCTGCACCTGTGTTATTAATGTTATCATAAAGATAGGTCTACTGTAACCAGGAAGTAGAACTTGGGAGGTCAAATTATAATTACAATGTAAGGATTAAAATTAAAACTGTTAAAACTCCCACAAAATGGCAACAGACAAGGACATTAAGTCGTCTGTTGTTGCTAGTTCAGAGGAGATTTTATAATAATCATGCTATTGTCACAAAGACAGTCAACTACAAATTATTGTAAAAAGGTTAATTATATTCCAATCAAAGTAGTACCATGATAAAATGTGTCGACGACGTTACCAAGTTTGCTTGTGGATTTTTATAATGAAAATATATAGAGCAATTGTAAATAACGAGAATGCTTATTTGTATACACATGTATAAGTGTTCAACCTTACTGTTCTACAGAAATAAGCTTCATATGAAATTCATATTGTATATTAGTATTACTATAGTGTTAAATTTCATGAAATGAACAAAGCAAAATGGGTTCATAAAACGGCGTATGGATCATAGAAAATACTACTTTACACAACAACAGCGGAACAAACCAACTAGCGTCTCATCCATTATAAGTTTGACAGCTACGTACTCGTCCAATGAAATTCAATAATGTACTCATCAATGTTATTTCACACAGTCAATGTCCATCATTTTTACAGAACTTTGTTATTCTGAGTACAATATTGATTTGATATGGATATCAACCAAATAATCATAAGTTTAACTTATTACTTTTACACGACAGTAATAAGTTAAATTTATGATTATTTGGATGTTCACCAACACTTGTTAAATGGTAATTCATAATTCCAGATAACGTTCGCATCGGCGTATTTTACGCTTCAAAATCAACTAAAAACGCACAAGGTTACCAATTTGTTGCGTTCGTTTACACACGCTGTAAAGAATGATGATTCAAAGCGTATTTTGTGAACTTTAAGTTTCTAAACAGCTGATTCCTCTTCCATTAAACACTTGGCTGTGTATCTACATTTTCCTATTAATATCCAATTAAAGTTCTTGTATTAAAAATTTTAGAAAAGTGAAAAGATTTAAGATTAAAGTAAAAAAAAAAAACTATGTTATGTGTGATAAAGGACCAATTTTGCAGTATTTTCACCTTACTTCTACTGCGTTATGGCTATTTTTGCATATTTACAACACTTATTTGTAATTTACATGGGTTGTAAGTGAAATGTTTGCAATGTGAAAATCAGCTGTTTAGAAACTTAAAGTTCACAAAATACGCTTTGAATCATCATTCTTTACAGCGTGTGTAAACGAACGCAACAAATTGGTAACCTTGTGCGTTTTTAGTTGATTTTGAATGTGAAAATTATTTACTTTGTTCACTTCACAACATTTTACATTTTAATACATTTTCAAAATGTTCATGAAAATTAGCATGAATCTGGAGGTGTACTGCTTTAATGTAACAATTTTGTTGTAATTTGCTGTATTTTCTGTTTTGTTATTTGTTTATTTATTACACTGTGTACTAAAATATTTTATGTTGGCGGCCATTCCGAAAAAATCATAAACAGAACTATGACTTAATTGCTTGTTACATGTTAGATATATCTATACAATCATGTTTATAGTTTTATCAAAAATAATTTTACGTAAGTGCTGTCATTGATGATTTTGTTCAATATCTTTTTGCAAAAGTAACATGCATTCTTTGATACATATTTGTAAATACATTGATTTATTCACAAAATAAACGATCTTAAATATCAGTGACTTTATTCATCATACCAAGTAAACGTGACAATAAACTGTTGTACAGGTCATGTTGCACACCATATGTATGTCCTAGACATTAATATTTCCCATAGATTTTACAGATATGTTTTCTATAAAAGTCTAAGAAATCCAAGTGACTCTCAGGGCTAGTCATCTTTGGCCCAAGGGCATAAATTAACGTTTATATGAGTAAACTAGACAATGGTATTTGTCAAATACATGTAATTAAGCTTTTGAAATACTTAAATTAAGTCTACATAAACCAAGAGTAAGGGCATGATTTATATAACTTTTGAAGAGGACCATAAGGTGATGTTTTTTAAAGAAATTGTAAATAACGCCCGGCACCACAAAAGCTCACTTCTGTTACTAATGAAGACTGATGTTGCATGCCAAATTTTAACCAAGAATTTTCTTAGTTCACAAAAGGGCATTGTTCATTCAAAATGTATATCTGAATTATGAGCCTGAAAACATATCCTCTTAATAATAAAGCCAATAACCAAATTTTACACTTTTCAACATCCCGTTATGTATTGTAATTAATAAATGGTACCCCCCCCCCCCCCAACCCGTGGATAGATATAGATAGTTAAATTGTATTTAGTGGTGTGAACCCTTCCAACAGATATCGGAACGCGTATAGACTGACTTTTCAAATGATTTACATACAAAACTGTATATTTATAATCTAACTTGTTAACAGCACATGTATGAACGTGTGGCAACTTTTGACAGTACTTAGTTATTCGTCGTCATCAAAAAGAGATAAATATTTCTGCACCTGTGTTATTAATGTTATCATAAAGATAGGTCTACTGTAACCAGGAAGTAGAACTTGGGAGGTCAAGATAGTTACAATTAAAACTGTTAAACTCCCACAAAATGGCGACAGACAAGGACATTAAGTCGTCTGTGGTTGCTAGTTCAGAGGAGATTTTAGATACAAATTGCTCACCGTGTTCGGAATCTGGAAAACTAATAGAAGCAGTTAAGTTTTGTGTGGATTGTGGGTCGTATTTCTGTTCTAAATGTCTTCAAGATCACAATAAATTTCCAGCACTAAGATCACACCAGATATTAGACAAATCAGATAAAATCAAATCAGATGGAAATATTGAACCTGGACCCGGACTACCAACAGAAAGGTGCGCAATTCATCATGGCAAGTTAGTGGACATGTTTTGTAAAGACCATGACGAAGTTTGTTGTGCAGCATGTATAGCTATAAAACACAGGTAAATAAATTGTTCATACACCTGTTAATAACTGCATTTAAAATCAATAAATTAAAAGATACAATTTATATGCTGAATTAAAATCCAATATTTCAACGTGACGTGTTTTATATAATATACGGTTCACTTGTTGAATGCCACACTTTTGATACAGTTTTTTAACTTTATCGTTGAATTTATAAAATAATTAACTAATCTTTAACTTAAATTACCTATTATAGACCATATGCATTACAATTCTAAAATGAAACGTGAAACATGATAATTAAACATGTGTGGTGCACACTTTTGCTAGTCTTCCATTCAATATAATTATCATTGTGTTGGTTACACAAAACTCATCACAATGTCATGTAGTTAGTAAGGCAAACCATACATGTACTTTAAGGTAATTCCACTTTGTCAGCCATGTTTGTTTTCACTTAGTCTGTCCAAAGTGAAAGTATGCCAAAATTCATATAATAACAAAGCTCACGATGTTAAATGATGAAACATTTGAAAGTACACTTCTAGGTTTATGTAAAATGATGAGCTATTTGCATTTACACTTCAAGTTATATGTTTTAAGGACAATTATCAACGAAAATAAAAATGATAACAATAAGAATATTTATCTTGAAAGTGCTACATTTCTGAAGACAAAGAACATTATGTTGCAAAGTTTTATACACATTTCATGAATGGCAAAATCCATTTTAAAGTCTGTTTTAGTGCCAACAAATGCTATTTTTTGCTGCAAATAAAAAATCTTTCAAAACTTAATTCCAAATAAATCCGTATCTCATGTCCTTCTAAGCTCATGGCCTCCATTATTTTTTGTAAAAAAGAAGTGCAAGAAAACTTTCACCATTTATAGCCTTTTGAACTATAATTAAAATGAAAACACAATCAGACTTTAAAATATAACCTTTATATTGTTTAACAGTGAAGTGTGTCTGTTTGTCATGTACACAAGAAATAGGTATTATTTTCATGGTACTACTTTTTTACACATGGCATGGAGGCCATGTTTTTTCAAGGTCAGATAAACTACTTCCTAAGATTTAAGTTTTTGCAAGTTTTTTATGTTTTCTGCAAAAAATAGCATTTGTCTGCACTCAAACTGACTTTAAACTGGAATTTGCCATTCATGAAATGTGCATAAAACTTTACACAGATTGTACTTGGTCTTCAGAATTTTAGCACTTTTAAAGTAAATTTTCTTATTGTTATCATTTTTATTTTTGTTTAAAATAGTCCTTAAAACATAGAACTTGAAGTGTAAATGCAAATGGCTCATCATTTTACATTGTAATCTTTGTTATTATATGAATTTTGGCATACTTTCACTTTGGACAGACTTGGTGAAAACAAACATGGCTGACAAAGCAGAATCACCTTAACCTATCTATAGTCTGATTTTATTGACCTGTCAATTATGAATACATTATAGCACTCATTTTAATATTCGATCCCACTTCGGGTTTGTCCGTTTATTTTACGAGAATTAATATGGAGTATTTAACTAACATTTTGAAATTTCCCACTAGCTTAATAAAGTAGATTCTCTTATCATCCGCAATAGCACAGTCGGTTAAGTGATTACCAAATGTAAGAGATGGTCCGAAGTTCGATCCATTTTTTTTAATTCTTTTTAGGCTTATTCTTTGTATATTTAAATGAAAATTGTCAAGCGTTTGCAAAGTTGTCTACACGGATACGAAACAACTAAGAAACATTGAATATTTATCTTACGGCACTGAAATGACATTTATTGATTTTTAATCCAAATGAATTTTGAAACAAGTAATCTATAGTATTTACCAAAAAAAATTGCAAAGCATATTAAAACAGAAAGAAAAAACAATAACTTCAAAAATGTTGAAAATAGTTATGAATAAGAAAAAAAAAACACTGGACATACGCTGTCTCGATCTTACAACACGTAGGGCATTTATATATTATATACCCGTAATGCACCCTATTTCGCTATAACAGTCAGTGTAACTACTTCATAGAAACAAGATTAATCTAATCACATCTTATGCGTACATCTCTCGGAATTTACCGAACATTTATCGGATATTAATATATTCTATGCATTGACCGTATAATCAGTATGGAATTGACAGGTTAATAAAAGCAAACAATAACTTCATTTCGGTACTTAAGAACCTAATGCAATTGATACTTAAATTGTAAACAGGTAAATGCGAATTAGATTGTGAAACCAAATTATATTAATATTTCAGGTCATGTATAAATGTTGATTATCTACCCGACGTTGCCAAGGGTATTAACCAAAGTGCTGAGTATGAAAAAACGAAATCATCACTCGAGAATGTTCTCATCGAATTAAGAGGTGTGGTAGAAGCTAAAACAGATAATCTCAAAATACTTATAGAGGATAAGAAGCAGTTATTTGAAGAGATAGAAAATTTGAAAGCGGAAATTCTGATGAAGATTGAAGAACTTGTAGAAACCTCAAAACAACAAGTATCATTGAAGTATGGAGAACTAAAGAAACATATCCAGTCAGATCTAGACACTTTAAATACTATTTCAACAACAATAACAACAGATCTCCGGAAACTGTCAGAAAAAAATGAATCCAAGTTGTTTGTAAATCTCAAAGCAAGTAAAGTTTCTATCAAGGATTGTGAAACTTTTTTGAGTGAATTATCAACAGGTAATGTAAATGAGAAGTTGGGATTGGTGGCGAATAACAGTCTGAAAGATGAACTAAATGACATTGAGAGTCTGGTCTCTGATGTTAAAATTGAGAGTTCGGTTGATGTCATCGGTGTGAAGGAATACAAAGCAACACTTTCTGGAAAATACAAGATCGATCAGAAACATTGTTGGGTAACTGGTATATGCGTCATGGATGATGGTTCATTTGTCATTGCCGATTTCACACATTTGAAATTAAAGCGACTGAATGAAGAATTGAAGGTAACAGATTTTGTTGAATTAGGTGGAAAACCATACTCAGTATGCAGAGTAGGGCAAAACGAGGTTGCAACGTACATAAATGGTAAAGGTCAGATACAGCTTTTTTCGCTCGGAAACACTATGCAGTTGGCATCGACAATAAATATCGGCAAGTTTAATAATCCTGTTGGTGTTTGTTATGATACAACGCTTGACGCTATCATGTTATGTGAAAGTAATAAAATGTCTGTATATAGCAAGTCCGGTAACTTAATAAAAACACTTGAGAAGAATAAAAATGGTGACCAGCTATTTAAAGCAGCAAGACAAGTAGAAATGAGCACAAATAATAAGCTCATGGTTGTTTCAAATGACGACGGAAATAATGTGAAGGCATTGACAAGAGATGGTGAAATAGTTTGGACATTTAGTGATCCAGCATTGCAGAGACCATGGGGAGTCTGTATCCTGCCTGGAGACATAATCTTAGTCGGTGGGGTAAACTCAAACAATGTACTGCAGCTTAACAAAAAAGGTGAACAGGTCATTGAACTGTTGGGGGCTTCTGAACAACTAAACGAACCGTCTGCGTTGGCTTTTGACAAGAGGAGTTCTCGGCTGTTAGTAGGGAGCGATTCAAATGAATTGCGCGTGTATACGTTGTCTTCTAAGACATAGAATATACTTGTAGGGTAATCAGAAACACCATTGACTGGGCGTGACACTATCAAACTTGGTTATCATAACAGTTATGCGATGAAAAGAATGTTGTTTTGTTAAAAATCATTTCAAATAACAGGCATGGCATGCTACCTCTTGTGTCCGATATTGCTAACACTGGCTTTTGATAATTTTCAATTAATAGCTCTGTTCAATAATACATGTGAAATGTGGCATACAGAACTTGGTGTCATATATTTTTTATTTATTCTAATCTCCACTGAAATTTCAGACATTAAAGTTATACACTCAAAAAATCGGTGCACAACACAATACGTTAATTTCCGATATAAATTTCATTTTTGTTAAAAAATGTATCTGCTCATACATTATGCTAAATGTTAATATTATCATACATATTATTATTGTTGTTGTTATTATTATTATTATTATTATTATATCACTATCACACTGGCAATAGCGGATGCAATTTTAACCCAAGGGCTATAATTATAACACTCTTGGTAGAGGTTCACTTCGCAAAGTCTCATGCCAAATATTTAACCTCTAGCCTTTGTCAATTCAATTGGGCAATTTTCACACAATGGGCATAATTAAAACAACTTTAGTAGAGGACCCATAGATGATATTATATACCAAATATCAAAGCTCTAAGCCTTGTACCTTCAGACAAGAAGTTTTTTTTATATTTTTTTACCATATGTACATAGTGAAAATCAATGACCCCCGGGGGTGGGGCCAATTTTAACACCAAGGCTATAATTTGAACAATCTTACTAGAGGTTCACTACACAATGTTTCATGCAAAATATCTAACCTCTAGCCTTTGTCAATTTAGAGAAGATGATTTTTTAAGTTTTTACTATATACATATAAGGAAAACCTATGACCCCCGGGGCAGGGCTGATTTTGACACTTAAGGCAAAATTTGAACAACTTTGGTAGAGTACCTATAGATAATAACACATACAAAATATAAAACCTCTAAGCCTTGTACCTGCAGACAAGAAGGTATTTTAAAATTTTACTAAATGTACATATAGTGAAAATCAATGACCCCCGGGGCGGGGCCGATTTTGACCCCAGGGCTATAATTTGAACAATCTTGGTAGAGGTCTACCAGACAATGCCTTATGCAAAATATCTTAGCTCTAGGCCTTTTGGGTCTTGACAATATTTTTTGAAATTTATTCTTGTAATTCCTTTTGGTTGCCATGGCAACCTGATTTCTACAGGGAATGACATTCTTTGAAGAACTTTGGAAGCTCTTCAGCCAAGGATCAATCCTGCCAAGTTTGGTAGAAATTCGACTAGTGGTTTTTCACAAGAAGATTTTTTAGGTTCATTATATAATCTATAGAACACACGTACAAACACACAAACAAACACAGGTGAATCGCTATATGCAGATGCTGCGGTGGCATAAAAATGTTTTCAACGCAGACGGCGGTTGATTCGATTGCAAAGGCGGGCGGTGGGTGCAATACCATTTATGTATATTTTTGAGGGTTTAACTTGAGGTAACGAACTTTTTAATTGAGTACAACCCTTTTCTTACTTTGACATCAGATTCTGAGGAACGTGTTTATTTGATGTTTGAAACAATATTATTATATTTACGCTTGTACAAATATATGTCCGAGTTCCGCTTTCACTCCGTTGAAAATTCCTTTAGCCGTTTTTATCATAGAATAATCCAAGTTGACCTGGTTTTTGTGTGCGACATACCATCCCATCATGGTGAACATTTATATTAAATTATTATGTAATCCTTTAAAAAATGAGCAAGATATAGACCGGACAATTCCGGGCGCACATACACAGAAAATACGTCAAAAGTGGCCACAAAGTGAAGCTCACCGCAAGCAGGCTCGACAAAGATTAAAGTTGGTTTAACATACTTTAGCTCGATTGTAAAGAAAAGATTATCTAAATCACTTTCGAATCCGCTTTCTGGAACTAACCAGTGCTGGTGTCATACAAGGAAATATGATCCTGACTCGAACCAACATATCAGCACATTTAATCCATTAGATTAATTCTCTGTGAAAAAGTTGGTAGTTATCGGTAAACAAGAGGGCCATGATGGCCCTGAAATCGCTAACCTGTATATAGGCGCTATGGGCGGGGCCAATTTTAACCCAGGGGCTTTTTTAACCAACTTTGTTGACACCCATTAGAAGATGTTTCATGATAAATATCTAAGCTCTAGCAAAAGAAGATTTTTTAAGTTTTTACTATACAATGTACACATATAAGGAAAATCAGACCCGGGGCGGGGCCAATTGAACACATTTGTAGACACTCACTAGAATAGGTTTCATGCTTAATCTCTAAGCTCTAGCTCTATGGGTTATTCAAAAGAAGATTTTTTAAGTTTCTACTATAGACATATAAGGAAAATCAGTACCCCTGGGGCGGGGTCAATTTTGATCCTAGGGTTTTTGTTTGAATAAACTTGATAGACACTCACTAGAAGATGTTTCATGCCAAATATTTAAGCTCTAACTCTTTCGGTTTTTTAAAAAAAGACTTTTTAAGTTTTTACTATATACATATAAGGAAAAGCAATGACCCCCTGGGGCGGGGTCAATTTTGATCACAGGGCTTTTATTTGAACTAACTTGGTAGAAACTCACAAGTAAATGTTTCATGCTTAATATCTAAGCTCTAACTCTTTGGGTTTTTTAATAGAAGATTGTTCAAGTTTTTACTACATACATATTGGGAAAATCAATGACCCCCGGGGTGATGCTAATTTTGACCCCATGGCTTTTATTTGAACACACTTGATAGACACTCACTAGAAGATGTTTCATGCCAAATATTTAAGCTCTAGCTCTTTCAGTATTTTAAAAGTTTTTTTTACTATATACATATAAGGAAAATCAATGACCCCCAAGGGCGGGGCCAATTTTGACCCCAGGGCTTTTATTTGAACAAACTTGGTAGACACTCATCAGACACTGTTTCGTGCCAAATATTTAATCTCTAGCTTATTCGGTTTTTAAAAAAAAGATTTTTAAGTTTTTTTCATATACATATCAGGAAAAGCAATGACCCTCTGAGGCGGGCCAATTTTGACCCCAGGGCTTTTATTTGTATAAACTTGATAGACACTCACTAGAAGATGTTTCATGCTAATTTCTAAAAGCTCTAGCTCCATCATTTATATAAAAGAAGCTTATTTAAGTTTCTACTATAGACATATAAGGAAAATCTGTAACCCCGGGTGGGGTCAATTTTGGCCCAGGGCTATTATTTGAACTAACTTGGTAGACACTAACAAGAAGATGTTTTATGCTTAATATCTAAGCTCTAACTCTTTGGGTTTTATTAAAGAAGATTGTTTAAGTTTTTACTATATACATATAAGGAAAATCAATAATGAGTGGGGCCAATTTTGACCCCAGGGCTTTTATTTGAACAAATTTGGTAGACACTCACCAGACAATGTTTCATGCCAAATATTTTAGCTTTAGCTCTTTCGATTTTTAAAAGAAGATTTTTTAAGTTTTTACTATATACATATAAAAAAGCAATGACCCTCTGGGGTGGGGCAAATTTTGACCCCAGGGCTTTTATTTGTATAAACTTGATAGACACTCACTAGAAGATGTTTGATGCCAAATATCTAAGCTCTACCTCTTTGGGTATTTTAAAAGAAGATATTAAGTTTTTTCTTTCGGTTGCCATGGCAACCAGAGTTCTCCATGGAACAAGTTTTAAAGGTGACCACCAAAGGAACATTCCTGTGAAGTTTGGATGAAATTGGCTTAGCGGTTTATGAGGAGATGTCGTTTAAAGTAAAAGTTTACCGGGACAGACGACAGATAGATGCCGGAACGAAAAGTGATCACAAAAGCGCACCATATCACTTTGTGACAGGTTAGCTAAAAAAAAAACAAAGAATCTAGGAGCACTGGCAAGATATCTGACTGTTAGATTGTTAATTAGGAACTTCAGCTATCAAAACATCAATGTCTTAATAACAACAACATTTATTACTAGTTTTCTAACCGTTTATTACATCAGTAAAACAAGAAAAATCAAAGAGAAGAAAAATTACTAAAATAAACGGTACAACTTGTATGTAAGTTAATTCATGAATTGATGACAACTATGAATTCATTACTATCATGATTCAATGAAACACATAACAAATTATAAAACAATCATTTATATATCTACAATACACATACTATTTACATTTTATACATATCAAATTCGATCAATATAAAAATGCTTTTTTCTAGAAAAACCTACAGCAAATACAGATTCTAAAAAAAATGTTAAGAAAACATCTAATTTACTCTTTAATAAAAATCTTGTCAATAATTTCAACAACATGATCTCAAATTCAGAATTAAACATTAAAATACTTCTTATAATGATGTACAACATAAATCCTGGTATCAGTCCAAAAATGATATTAAAATAGTTTCCAGTTACAAAATAAAAAGAATAAAACACCAAAAAAAAAAATGTTTTGATTTCGTGTTAGTTTAAAAAAAGAAAAGGCCAAAGGTCATTTACATGCTGGGGATTAATATGCCAGTTACATGGTTTAATATACAATATACTCTAATCTCTCTATTCTCATAGATGGTGCTTCAATATGAGACAAAACAATATATGTATAAAACATATAATGTGCCCTCAACTTTTGTTATATAACACAAAGCATTCATACGAGATGGTATATAACTGCCAAAATTTTCTTTGTAACTCCAAAATTTGTTCTTATTAGTAGCATGTGAACTATTTTATTGTTTGTCAATCTTGAGTTAGAGCAGAAATATTCATATTTTGAAAACTTAAAAATTTGCTATATTGCTAGATTTTTGTTTTTGTTTATTTCAGTGATATAGAATTGTGTTGAATGATCTTAAACAAAAACTGAACCAAATAATATGTTATACCACTTCTTACTACCAAATATTTTGTCAACAATTTATGACTGCCATGGATGATGATTCAATTCTATAGCTTTCTATATTTTAGCTTCACATTTTATTCCCCTATACCCTTCAATTATAATATATAGAGGATATTCAAGTTTTTTCTATAAATACATGATTTATTTTCATCGAGTGGTATGAAAATAAATATTTCACGAGTGGCGGTAGCCACGAGTGAAATATGGTAATTTTCATGCCACAAGATGAAAATTAATCATGTATTTATAGAAAAAACTTGAATTTTCTGTTTATTATATACATTTTTCTCTTTTTTGACATTAAAATTTGAAAGACTTTCCCTTAAATTTTGTGTACTGGCAGAATTTAAAAGAAAGTAGTCCGGCAAGACACCAGTGAAAATACGGAAAATATGTTTCACTGCAGTGAAAAATAAATTTTTACAGTGAAAATACGGAAAATGAAAATACGCATTTTATTTCATCAATATTTCTCAATATTTCATTTATAAGTATGTAATAAATGTAATATATGACAAACATACTATGAAGTATAAACAGCTGTTACCCCCTCAATAATCTGTACCTATCTTGTAACAGTTACTCATGTGTTATCACATACATTTATGTACAGTAACATTTACTCCTCAGACATACTGTAATAGCTGCTCATGTGTTTTCCCATTTACTCATGTGTCAGCCTAGTTACTATTGTATCACATTTCTTCATGTGTTGTTCCACTAACTCATGTGTAGTTTAACATTTACTCATGTGCTATCCTTATTACTATTGTTCCATATTTACTCATGTGTCTGTAGAGAATATTCATTCGTAAGTTGGAGAGTTCCCTGATCTTTTGTAAGATGCCCCAAATTTGGTCATATATTTTTTCACAAAATCTTTCGCTTTGGATTTCACATTTTCATTTACCTCTAGATCTTCGACATGTCTGCAATGTTTCAACTCTTTTGCCATCACATGGTGCGTCAACTGAATAAACAAATCATCTTATTTTATTCTGAATAGTTTAATAACATGTATATCATGTCATAAACATAGTTCATCATCTGAATATTTCATCAACTTCACCTATAATGTTTGACTGTTTTAATATAGATTTCAATATTCATTACATGCTTGAAACTGAGAAACAACAACATTAGCATATCTTAATCCCCCATTAAGTACAATCACCATCCTTAATAGAATAATATTATAATCATATCATGAAAATGTTTTAATGCATTAATTGTGGCTGATTATTGACACCTGGGTAAAAACTACCAGTTATATAATAGCTGGACAATTTTATAATAATCTATCATTGTCTGTCAAACGTTTAAATCCAGCATTAAGGGGAAAGTAATTTTTGAAGTCAGCCATCCTAATCACTCTACCAGTGCTAGTTAAAAGTGATACACAAGTACAAAGCTGTATTCAAAGTTTTGAAATGGAGAAAATATAGCATGTTACACACCTTTCTAGCTAGATGTTTGAAATCTTCTGTAGAAGATACACGTCCAAGTTTACAATCTGGTTTACGGAATGGATTCAGGCACAACACTATCCATGATGACATCTGAAATAAACATACAGTGAATTTAATATAAAATTTAATATATACAAGAATCTTGCTTCTTCTTATATACTTCATAAATGCCATTTAAAATTTTAAATTATCATATTACAATTATACATGTTGGTAAACTGTCACCATGATGCTGACTTACAGCAATGCATTAACCAGTTTTACTACCTTGAGCACAGGTAAGTACAGAACCTGATCAAATTACATTCCGACTGAACTGATTCTATACTAATTGGTGCAATTATTAACAACTTTGGTGTATTATTATCTGACTTAATCTGGACTGTAGAGAAACTAGATGTTTGATGTTGCAGCCAGAAAAGAATTTAATACAAGTGTAAACTTTAGAAATACCAGCATTGTCTATGATTTTGTTTGTTTGTTTCATTTTACGCCTTTTTCAACAGTATTTCAGTCATATAGGCGGGTAGTTTCCTAACCATCGTTCCTGGAGAGTTACACCAGTACTAGACTAACTTCCTCCGCGCTAAACTACCAAAGCATCTCCCGGGGATCGAACCCACGCCAGAGAGGTAACTGGATTAGAAGTCATCGACTCTAACCCCTCGACCACGGAGGCGGTATTGTCTATGAAGTGTGATGCTTTTTAGTTTGGAAATAATCTGCCCTGTACCAATATGAGTTATGATCAAAGTCACTTCCCTAGTAAGCTTTTATCATAGTTTATTACCTTAGTTTTAAACTGTTCCTTTAATTTACGATTAGTTTCACTAGAAGTATCAGCAGCAGCTGTAGTGGTTTTCTCTTTCTCTTCCTTCTGATCACCCTGTAATATATTAAATAATATACCTATATATACATACAATGTAACATAATTATTGTGTTCCTTTGAAAAAATTGCTTTCTATATGTATATGAAATAAAAATGGTTAAGTTATAAATATGGAAAAATGAAGAAGTTTTAATAGGTTTTTCCAACTTTTCTTTACAGATTTATACCATATCACATAGTGTTATCATAAGCTTTTCATCATTGTATCTTTCATATCATAACTTGTTAGTTTTGTTTGTTTTTAGGTCATACAAACACTGTAAAACTGTACTAATTGAGCAAAACCTCAGTTACCCCTATATGCATTATTTCATGCATGAGTACAACCACCAACCTTCACAGTTTCCTTATATGGAAGAAACAAAGGTCGCTGATGGGATTTGAACCCGCAGAGCTGAGGGACAAGTGATGCAACTTAAACAATTCGGCCATTGAGGCCCCATATCACAACGTTCATCATCACACAAATAGAAATTGACCTTAATGTTACATTCTTCAGGTGAAATATCAACTTGCGTACATGAACAAGGTCTGGAGATTCTATTGTACATGTTTATCTTTTCTCATAAGAAAAACAAAACCATCTAACCCTTGAACAAACTATATAAAATAGTACAAGGGAAATACATTCATTAAGCTAAACATTGTTTATAGAGGATATTGAATGAGTGTAAGTTCAATACTGAATTTATTGCACTCGTTGAATAAAATTATATTATGCGAGCATAATATTATTTTATTCAACGAGTGCAATAAATTCAGTAATGAACTTACACGAATTTAATATTCTATTTATCACATACCCAAAATAAAGACCGTTTAAAGTGAATTAAGAGTCATTTTTCATTGACGCGCCTATAGTATAACGCTAACATTTAGCGCGTCTTTACACAATGTTTGTATAACGCTAATGACGACACGTCAAAATACATGCACGGCCGTGCAATACCATATTTACGGAGTCGCAAAATCGGCACGGGTGTGTGATAAATATCATTAAATCATGGTTAAATTGATCTTTAAATGGTTATTGAGTAGACAAACTGTATAAATAAAATCCTAGTAGATAAAGGTAAGGAAAATAATAATATAATTTTCCTTCTGAATAATTTGAGAGAATGTGGTCTTGCAATAATCAACAAACAATATAAATAAATAAATCTTCAGATAACAATAATGATGAATGTATATAAAACATACAACAGTATATACATGTATAACAGAAGCAGTTCAGACAATTCAAAGAAAAGCATGTATGACAAGTTTATGTGACAGTTTTGATACGCGATAAATATTTCTGTATATGCATAACTCAAAAATATGCATATTTAACATCTTCAGTAAAAAAAAAGCTAACAGTTATAGTTTTATTTCAGTTACGGTCAAATCTACTTATTTAAGTATAAGATTTCATCACAATGACTATGATAAGTAGTAGGCTATTTAAAATACATAGCAGAAATAACATTTTTACCTTCTTTACCTTAGTAAGTGTCAAAGTTGGGTCACAATGTCATTTGTTTATAACATCAATTTTATCAGAAATGTCACCTTAACTCCTCTCACTAAACAATGCCTCTTAGTATTGAATAATCAAACTGTAAGTGAGCTAAAAATGTGCATTATCTACCTTTATGAAGAACAGACAAAAAATCTTTAACATTGCATCAATAAACAGCTAAGTTAATTCCTGTTTTGCTAAAAGCATTTAAATTATTTAATTCCATTCTCCCTACATATATTTGTAAATGGACATAATGTTAAAAAATTATATGACATAGTGTTTTAAAGCTATAAAGATGTTTCTGGATAAGTCTATAAATTTTCTAGTTTGAAAATAATTGCCAAAATCTCCACAAATAATCATGCTCATTAACTTTTTTGGAGAATTAATCATGTGAAATATGTTGTTCTTAACAAAAAGCAATGTGGCACAAACTTGCAAATCCTCACATCAACAAACTTGCAAATCCAAGCATGAAAACAAACTTGCTTGCAAATTTGTATCCTAGCGTCAAACTTGCAAATCCTAGCATGAAACTTGCAAATCCTAGCATCAAACTTGTAAATCCTAGCATAAAACTTGCAAATACTAGCATCAAACTTGCAAATCCTAGCATCAAAACTTGCAAATCCTAGCATCAAACTTGCAAATACTAGCATCAAAACTTGCAAATACTAGCATCAAAACTTGCAAATCCTAGCATCAAACTTGCAAATACTAGCATTCAAACTTGTAAATCCTTGTATCTAACTTGTAAATCCTAGCGTCAAACTTGCAAATACTAGCATCAAAACTTGCAAATCCTAGCATCAAACTTGTAAATCCTAGCATCAAACTTGCAAATCCTAGCATCAAAACTTGCAAATCCTAGCATCAAACTTGCAAATCCTAGCATCAAACTTGCAAATCCTAGCATCAAACATGCAAAACCTAGCATCAAACATGCAAATCCTAGCATCAAACTTGTAAATCTGAGCGGACAATATAAAAATTAGATCTTTAATCTGGTAAATCAGAGCTTTTACTATTTTGCTTAACTCTCATAATTTTACTACTGTTTATCTTAACACCTAACCATGCTATATCATGTTCTAAAAACAACAACAACAACAACTAATCAGTGACTGTAAAGAGAAGTATTGTCATACAATATCTATCGCAATACTAACAATACTGTAACAACTATACAGTTAACTATAAATGAAAGACAAATAACAGATGCATTACATACAAGGTGAGCACAATGGTTAGGCTTACCGGCACCAAGTTAGAGTCAACACGATCACACTCCATATAGGCAAACTTTGATGCAACAAAAAACTATAAAGATATGGAAATGGATAATGAAATAGAGACTGTAACTGATAATATAGAATTCTGTGCAATACAGTTCCCTGGTAATTTACCAAAATAAATTAATTTTCCCCTAAACCCTTGAATCATATTACATATTAGTGCAATAATGGGTTAAGTCCTTCTAATTTAAAAGGAGATGACCAGTTTTTGCACTAAGATGATATGTTATTTCTACACTGAATGAAGTAATCGTAAATATTGCAGCACAATGATGCTACTTTAAGTTTTCAATGTTAGAATGAAGAGCAATATGTTTGCAAAATTTTTAACTTGAGCTGTAACAGATGAGTGATGTCAATATCCAAATATAACTATCCAAAGTTCTATAATATAAAAGATGCAGACTGAATAAAATATATAGTTTCAACAGAATAAACCTTACACCTAACTTACATCTGAAAATAGTCAATCAATCCAATTTAGCACGAGATTAAGAAGACATACCATAAATATCAAAATATAATACAATATTACATAGATTGATGCTTATTTCAGAGCACACACAAGCAGATTCCCACATCAAATAAGGTATATAGTTATACTATATATACATACCCTGGATACAGTATCATCTTGTGTTGGTGTCCCTAGGTCCATATCATCTGCATGTTCACCTGTATCTATGTTTGGTGGATCCCACTGGGTTTGTCTGTATTATAAAATGTTGTATATGTTTATATCTGTATGGTGTAATTTAAGTATAATGACAATTTTAGAAGTCAAATGATTCCCTACAGACTCTTGCATTTAAAAACAATGAGTAATTGAGCTTACTAAAGTACTTATACAACACTATGGCCAACTTAATCCAACTTTAATAAAGTAAATAAAGACAATGTAGCTGGACATATGTATAATAAAATTGATGTTGATATGATACATAAAATAAGCTCAAACAATGATATAATGTAAGAAATAAGTAAGTATGCATATAGTTAGTGATCTATCACCAACCTTGTAACAGTATGGTAATAATAAAGTTTGCCCTCAGCATCTTTGGCAGTCTTCCAGTTAGGGGGTAGAACTATTGCCTTGCCCTTGGGTGGTGAAGGGGGTGGGGGTATATCCTCCTCCTCTATAGCAGGCATGGCAGACTTTGATGGTTCTAAATGCTGCTGTTTAAAAGCCTCAACCTGATGGTAAAACAAACAATATTACCAATTTTAGTATAATCATCAATATTAGTAACAATTCGTCGGGTTAATTCTACAACCCCGTAACTCGATTTTTGGCAAAATTGAGATTTTTATATCATTTTTTTCGCCTAAATGAGCTCTTCACAGTGAACATACTTATGTAGTTGTAGAACTAACATAAAAATGTTTATTACCAATTCCACAAACCCGTAACTCGCTATTTACATCAAACTTTAATTCTAGACCCCAGTAACTTCTCGTCCAATCAAACATTCTGATTTTGTACCACGTGATACATAACACATCTGTAATGGCTGCCTACTTATCGCAACCAAATATTTTAAAAACTTTTAGTGATTTATTTAAAGATAATTATAGTAATTTTTACCTGAATGTAATATACATATATTGATGATTTAGTTTTTATAGCTCTTACATCATTTTGAATTAATAGTAAATGTATTGAATAGATACATATGTAAATACTACATTTATTCGGATGATAACTATTTCGGACGGCCTCGATGAGTACTATTTTTGTTAATTTCCCTAAAGCTTCTTATTTTCACGTTTTTACACTTTTTGAAAGGGTACTCATTAGCTATATAGCTGAACCCATTTTTACATTTGCATTTTGATCATCCATAAAAGTTATAGTTATTAGATGTTCTTGAATGGAAGACAAAATACCACTTTGTTTACATCTATATGCTATCAGGACAAATTGTTTCAGATTCAACGCTGTTTTCTGAAGCACGAAAAGCATCTACTTAATGTACACTCTAAATCAAAAATTGAAACATAATAGCAACATAGGTATGTGACAGAAACGCATCGTCGAATACCCACGGTTGATAAACATGTAACATAACAAGTGCATACTTTTGAAAAATTAATGAGGATTTCATTTGATAGTAGCATTGATTTTCAAACAGACGTGTAATATTTTACACAGTAGGAGAAGTTAATGATATTTTTTACTTGAATTTTTGCTATGTTTCTAGCCGAAAATTATTACACTTAGTCAATTTGCTTCAAATGTTTCAATTAGAACCCCGTATGTCGCTTTTATGGTGTAGAAATGACCTGAATGTTTTGTCAACAACCACGTATCTCTCGAATGGGGTTTTAGAATTCAGAATTTGTATGTATTTTCTTATTTATTATGAAAAATTGAAATTAATTATTTGATATTTTAGCTTTAATATTGTATGCACAGAGATAAAATTTGGTACATATGTACAACATACAGATTTCTAAATTCACTGAAAATTTTATCTTTATACGGTTTATCATTAAAAAGTTATTACAGTTCAAACTTTCAAATGCGATTTTCTAAAAATGACAAAAAATGACATACGGGTTAGTAGTATTAAGCCAACGAATTGTATAATCAATCTTAGTAACAATTGTATTAGTATAATAATCAATCTTAGTAACCACTGACATGAAAATAAAGTAAAACTAGAGGATGCTTTTGTAAAAAAGCGCATGTCTCCCCCACTGCTGAGAATAACTGTGAATGGAAACAGGAATGGAAATGGAGATAAGATAATGTAAATACCCGGTAGTCACTTCAATGAAGGCTGTCTATGGATGGTTTCTATTGTTAAGGTTGTATGAGAAGATGCTTCCTAAACTGTTTGTTTTTAACCAGGTATTCAATTTTGAAAATCCTGGTTATTCAATCAGCGTATGGCAGGCGGGCGTCAAACGAAATTGCACTTGATGGTCATATTAAAAGAGGGATCATCTGCTCAATAAGACCAATCATCCTATGAAGTTTGAGGGTTGTAGGTCTAAAGGAACTCTAGTTATCATCCGGAAAGGAGAAATTAACCAACGGTCACTGTGACCTTGACCTTTGACCTACTGACCATTAAAACAATAGGGATCATTTGATTAATAAGACCAATCATCCTATGAAGTTTGAGGGTTGTAGGTCAAAAGGAACTCTAGTTATCATCCGGAAATGAGAAATTGACCAACGGTCACTGTGACCTTGACCTATGACCTACTGACCCCAAAAACAATAGGGATCATCTGCTCTATAAGACCAATCATCCTATGAAGTTTGAGGGCTGTAGGTCAAAAGGAACTCTAGTTATCATCCGGAAAGAGAAATTGACCAACGGTCACTGTGACCTTGACCTTTGAACTACTGACCCCAAAAACAATAGGGATCATCTGCTCAATAAGACCAATCATCCTATGAAGTTTGAGGTCTGTAGGTCAAAAGGAACTCTAGTTATCATCCGGAAACGAGAAATTGACCAACGGTCAGTGTGACCTTGACCTTTGACCTACTGACCCCAAAAACAATAGCGATCATCTGCTCTATAAGACCAATCATCCTATGAAGTTTGAGGGCTGTAGGTCAAAAGGAACTCTAGTTATCATCCGGAAACGAGAAATTGACCAACGGTCACTGTGACCTTGACCTTTGAACTACTGACCCCAAAAACAATAGGGATCATCTGCTCAATAAGACCATTCATCCTATGAAGTTTGAGAGCTGTAGGTCAAAAGGAACTCTAGTTATCGTCCGGAAACGAAGAATGGACGGACGGACGGACGGACTGACGGACGGACAGGGCAAAAACAATATGTCTCCCCCCGAGGTGGGGGAGACATAATAACACATATTTTTTCAGTAAATGGAAGAAATAAAGGAGATAAACAAACATTTTAAGATCACAAGGTGGGTGTGGTATTGTTAGGTTTAGAGTCCCAACAATACTGTTACAATGACATCCCAGCTTTACTAGTTGGGGTAGACCTTTCTTTCTGCCTTCCAACCATTAATTTAAGTAAAGTAAAAGTCGGTATCTGTGTAGAACCATCAAACTGTCTGATCAGGTTCCTCATACAGTAAGTGCAATAATCTCAGCTTATATTGATATTCAGGGGACACATAAAATATGATATGATACATCTGGATACCGTATAAGTACTTATTTCTGCGGGCTTAAAATTCTGCGATTTCTGTTGAAATAAGGGGTTTTAAATTTCTGCGTATCTTATTTCTGCGGTGTCATCATTCTCGCATTGATGCTTTATATTTCTGCGTTTTAATCAAGATTTCTTTTACAAAATTAACTGATACAAACAAACAACATTTCAAGATTTGTTGATGTTACATATACATAACTTCCAGTTAACATGAAGACAACAGATAAAGTGTTTTTGTCATAATCATATTGTATCGGTATATACGCGTTAATAATAAAAAAAAAACAAAAAATAAAAAAACGTGCAATGACAATAATTGTAATATTGTATGTGTATCAATTTGAAGGGTGAAAAAATAATCAATGGCAAAATCGCACGTAAGACACAATATATTGTACAAATACAAAAGGGTATGTTTATTGCACCCGTCAAACTATAGCAGTTATATTTTACAAAAAAGTCAATCTAAGGTGAACGAAAATCATGTAAACATGATATTTATTTAAACAAAAAGAAGAAACAAAGTAACTTTTTTTAATCATATATTCACGAATGATACATAAAGGAAAATCCAATTTACAAAAGCCGATAACAGTACATAGTAATGTATATGTAATGTACACAATACCGGTAGTTGACATTTTCCGACATATACAATAGGGAAAGGCTTAATTTTCTGCGGTTTTTTAATCTGCGGTGTCGTTATGAACCGCAGAAATAGCAGAAATAAAGTTCCCGCAGAAAAAAGTACTTATACGGTATTGTTATAACTGGAATGTGTGCACAACCTGTACTTAACTGATGTATTCAAAAGATGTCACATTTAAGTGGCATATAAGGGTATATTAAGTACATTTTATACAAAACACTTGAGAATATTAGTAAGTTTATGATCTTTTTTTAAACAGTTCTAGATGCATGTTGGTACAATTGTATGCAATTAGGCTGATCATTATAAATGCTTATTAACAATAAAATCATTGCTTAAAATGTTAAAATATATTAGATAGAACAAAAACTGACATTGATACACCCTAAATATCAATACATGTGATATTGATCTATGCAGAGAGCCTTACATAAGATTCAGGGAACAATACAGACATATCAATATAACCTATATATCAATACACATAATATCACGATATACAAGTGAAGTTTACAGTATTACACATCTCTAGGAAGTTTTGAACTCTCAGTAGAGAGGGACTAATGATTCTCAGTCAGCATGCTGAACCACTAGGCTATTTACACCATTATATACAATGTGAACAGTCAAAATTGTAAACTGTACCTGTTGAAGGAAGGCCATATGTTGTTCTGTCATTGGCTCATTTTCGTCAGGTACAGGCATTGGCTCTGGTTGTGCTGACATATCAAACTGACTTGCCTGAAATCATACAAGTAATAAACATAACAATTATTCCTCTGTTAGAACAAATTCAGCGGCCATGGGTAAAATTTTTCTGTTTCTAAAAGTTTCTAATTCAGTCTTTTAAGGTGTTAAGTAAAATTAAATATTACCCAACTTTTACCTGTGTGAGAGTTGTCAATAGTCTCAAAGAGCTTCAAAAAGGTTTTAAAATAGAGTTTTTGACAGTAATCTATGATATATCTCTAACCTATACATACTACTATCACTTGTGACCTCTTAATGTCATTAAGCAGTCAATGCTTAATGAGGGTCCATCTGCTCTTTCAGGCACTGAGAGTACGGATTCTGGTTAATGTCATTATTGTTGACTGCTTTATGTTTTCAGATTTTTCAGGGTAGCAAAGTTTTTGAAAAACATACGTGCATTTGAGTAAGGTTAAGCATCATAATAATACTTCAAATGTCATATGTTAACTCTCTAGTGTAACTGGTAGATATGTTAACTCTCTAGTGTAACTGGTAGATATGTTAACTCTCTAGTGTAACTGGTAGAGGAATATCTCATGTGCTCTGCTGAGCATTATTTTATGAGACAGCACAAGTAGAACCAACAACCCTCTGTTAATTAGGTGGATAGTTTCCTCAAATTAAAGAACCACAAAAGTATAAATAATTATTATTTCAAACATCATGTACCTGAAGTACAGCCTGCTGGTACATAAATGTTAGATGTTCTAGCTGTTGTTGGAAGTTAGGTATTGTCCCCATCAATTGTTGAAGTAAAACTGGATCCATTGCCACTACAATATTTTGACAAAATAATAAATATTATTAATATAAATGTTATTAAAATTATGATAATTATTTGCACAAATAAAGAAACAAATAATCAAAGATTCTTCCTTGTATCAACATTTATTATATACATTATTATACTGTATGTTCTCAAAGTGGATTTTCACTTCACAATACTGAATTTTGTTTTTATTGGGTTTAACGTCTTGCCACACAGTAAAGGTCATATGGTGACTTTCCAGCTATACTGGTGGAGGAAAACACCAGGTGACCCTCTATACCTGTGTAGAGCCACCAACTATCATCTATATACAAAGCTAAATAAATTTATGAAGGTTTTTTTTTTCACTTTTATCATAACATGGAATTGTACGTTGTAACATGTCTAACATCAATATATTTGAGAGGTAAGTTAGTTTGTTTGGTCATATTGCGACGTTCCAGCTTTACTGGTGGAGGAAGACCTCGGGTGCCCTTCCGTGCATTATTTCAGGCACAAACCGGCACCTGAGTAGAACCACCGATGTTTCGTAAGCTAGCTGGATAGCTTCCTTGCATGAAAGAATCCAAAGTCCCTGTCTGGATTCGAACCAACAGTGGTGGGGGGCAAGTTATTTGAATTGAGAGGTAAGATTTGACGGTTGATTGCTATAATATTAACATCACCTTGTGGTTAAAGATATATAATCTTAAATCATTTATACCGGGTGAAATAAACTATCCAAAATTTTTGTATGAGAAGCAATTAATACTTTGATTTTATTATTACAATAAAGAAAATTGTATGATCACTTTTCTATATACAATAACCTTCATTAAGGAAAAGCCATTTAGCTTTTTTATCAGTCAAATGAGAAGTCGCTTTTATCAATATAAATGTTTATACATTGTACATTGAATATATAAATCTTCAATGTCAGATATCTGGTGGTGTTTTTTTTTTACTTTAAACAAGGATATTATTAAAATATGGTTGAGCAATAAAGATCATATATTAAATAGCTATTTGTAATACAGATGTGGGAACATTTAATGTATCTATAGTAAATAATTAAAACATAATATACATACACTGTTGTAAGAACTGTTGAGGATCTATGCCTATGGAAGGTAAGAAGTTTGGATCTTGGGTAGCATAGTACCAGAAACCTGGATCCTGCATGAGTTGACGTTGATGTTGTTGTTGTATTAACTGTTCCTGTTCGTACTGCTCCTGCTGCATCTGTTCCTGATGACGCTGGTATTCCGCCGCTAACTCATCCTGTGCCTTCACCTGAGCCTCAAACAACTGACGACGCTCTGACTTACTCATCTTGGGTGGTGTCTGTAACAATGCTTTCCTGTAATAAATTAATTACAAAATAATTACTGCTAAACCAGAGTAACTATACTATATATCTTAATAAAAAAATCACAAAAGCAAAAATTGCACTAACAAATAAGATCTGTTGAAAGGACAGGATGCTCTATAATTGTCAGTTCTTGACAGTAAATTATAAGAATTAAGAATATGAATACCTTCAATAGTTGTTGATTGATGTTGCATAAAAAAACAATTTTTAAGTTTAAAAAGTGAAAATCCATGAAAGGGTTATCGGTCTAAGATAGTTTTGTAGACCTGAACTATGAAATCGCAATGTTTTAAGTGATTTGAAGAATAATGTCCAAAGCGTTTGAAAAAAAACAACACTATATAAGACTTAATTACAAACCTGGAAGGATTGTTAGAATCAGAATCATCAGTGTCCTCTTTATAACTAGCCTCTCGTTTCCTCTTTCTTCCCTTTACTGTATCCCAGCCTGATACTATAAAATATTCAAGCATTTTTAGTTCAACCAAAACACGTATACTTATGAAATAGGCCAACCGTAGATTTAAATTCTACAGTTAATACTGTAGGATGATACAGTTTAAAACAAATATTTTTCTGCTAATTTCACAATAATAAGCCTTTTCTAAACAGAACAAATAGCCATTAGGATGCCAATGCATATTTTTACATTTCATAACAAATAGACCACTACTGGTGGGTCCTTGCAAGTGAAATAAACTGGGTTTTTTTTCCCACAAAATTTTACAAAAAATATGCGCAAGAACCTTGATTTGGTCTCCGACACCCCATGAATTATTTTCTGAACAAGAAACATGGCATGCCGTGAAACCAGGTTTTCAAACCTGAAACTATTTTTCTATTTTCAGGAAAGGGCATTCACCTTCACTGACCCAAAATCAATCTTGAACAAAGTTTGATTACAATATCTTATCCTAACTCTAGCAACCAATGGAAACCACCTGTTTGACACCTGCCGGACCTCCTGCCATTTGCCAATCTGATAACCAGAATTGAAAACTTAGTAAGGTGATGTTCAAATTTTGTAAAGCATTTTGTAAGCTTATCTAGATAGCATCCTACATTGTATGGGCTCACTGTAATTCAATAAAACAGAGATAGTATAACAGTCTTACCTTTCTTTTTGCGTTCTTCAATTAAAGCAATTTTCTCATAGTTAGAATCTGAAACATAAAAGTAGTCTGAACTTTAGAAACTTGTGTAACATCTGGAACCCAATGACTTGGATATTTGCCACCAGTATAGTTCTGGCCAGCCTGTACATTTATATAAATCTGACCAGATTCTGTTCTGTGGGCCGACTTACTTAAAATTTTCATCTTTATATCCTCAAAATTGATAATGTATAGCTCCAGAATGGAAGTAAAGAAATTCAGAACATATACTGTATGGTTAAATCAGGATTTTACCTTTGAAAGTTTTACTTTCATATATATAGCCAAATATTAATTAAGAGACTTATAAAATATTATTGTAATATATTACCTAGTTCTCTTTCAGTCTTCTTCCTTTCTTCTAATACTTGTTTCTTAGGAATCTTGTATATCTCCTGAAATTATATAGTTCAATGGTATTGGTTATTCACAGATTTTCAATAGTATTGTTTATTAATAGGATATACTAGTAAAATAGAAATTGATTTGCCATTAAAACACAGACTTTATATTATAATATATGGTGACCTTAACAAGTTTAAACAAGCTCAAAAAAGTTATTTCAAAGACAAGTTGAATATGCTATAGTATACAGTATCTCTATAAATAACATCTTTCTAAAAATCATTACAATTTCTCAAGTTTTATGTTCCTCTGTTCCTGGAATTAAGTCTTTTCAAAAGTGGCAGTACAGAAGAAAATACACAGCCATCTAATTAATTGAACATTTTGAGCAGTAATGGTAAAAACAGGGAACTTATGCTACCAAGGCCAGCTTGTACATCCTTGCAGACTTAATTTACTGTTGGCTTCTCAATTTTAGTATTTAAATATCTCATTACCTTAAGTTAACAAATAATTTAGATATCAATTCAGGAAAGTTCATAACAAAGTTTAGGCAGTGTTGTATTTTTTATTAGTATCTAAAAACTTAAAGCATTTAGGTTTACCTTTAATGTTGACCAATGTTCCAATAAGTCAGTAGCTAGATTCTTTATTTCAGCCGCTCTTACTATCTGCTCTAATTCCTCAGATTCCTTTTCAGAAATGCCAGCACTTGATTTACTTTCTGGTTCAGACTCTTCACTTAACTCTATTGTCTTATCTTCGCTTAATTCTACAGGCTTTTCCTCACTGCTTTCTTCCAATGGTTTTTCACTTTCCTCTATATTTTCATCCTTTGGGCTAGATGTTGACTGGTTCTCTGATGAACTATCAGCATCAGTAGACTGTGTTACATGTGACACAGACTCTGGTTTAATGTCAGGTGAATCTTTCTCTAACACTCTTCTCCTCAGTTCTCTAAGTTGTCTCCTTGTTTTAACACTAGATGAAGCAGACTGAGAGGAACTAGTTACATCCCCTTCTACACTGTCTCCAGGGAGATCACTCTCTGACGCACTAGCACGAGATTCACTGTCAGATGACGATTCTACTTCAGCAAACTTGACAGATTTTTTCACAGACTTTTTATCTCTAATAGAAGCAAGTATAGAAACAGGGTTTTTATTCGAGGTAACAGGTGGAGTGGACATGGATTCCTCGTCATTTTCTGTATTGTCAGTGTCAGTAATTTCTTGACTAGTTTCTAGTACATCAGACCCCTCACATATGTCTAAAGTGTCTTCAGGTTCTGACCATTTCTTTACAATATCTAAGATTTTACTGTCCTCTAATATAGTCTTGTTTGTGATAGGAAGTTTCTTTAATACTTTTAACATCTGAAAAAATAATAATATTCAATAATGGCATGTTTCGTTAGTAAGCATATTGTTAATTATATTCAATACAACCAAGTTCCCCTGTCTAGTAAGATATTTGATTAAGAACTTAAGTCACCTTGTTATAATTTACAATGTAGATATATAATTTCTTAAATTACTGTTTATCAGCGTTATATAAAACTTAACTTATCATTATATCACCAACATGAAAACCTTTTACAAGTTCCATGTTGTCATGTTAATTCTTCTACTGTGCTGAAGGTATGAACAATAAGAAAATGTGAGCATCACTTACAATAAATAAGAAAAACACATTCTATGTAATATTTGATACTTACTATATGTTTAAGATCTGAGACTTGTAGTTTAGCATCAGCCATCCAGCACCACACTAAAGGTAAACCATGATAATCTAAGAACAGTCGAAGACAACCCTGTTGTTCAGTGTTCTGTAACATACAAAGTACACTTCATAAAACTTTCTACATTTAACAACTTTGAGTAAAAAACATCAAACATATTTTTTTCACTCTGTTTGAATCAAAATTACAACATCAATGTTAAGATCATATAGCTACTTTCTAACTACTTGTGGAGGAAAACCTCAAGTCCCCCATCTGTATGTAACTTCCAGCATAATCCATTGATGAACACTTGGGTAAAACAACAAACCTTCCATATGGCAGTTGTGCAACTTTCCTCATAATATAATTCAACATTCAAACAAGATTCCTGTGCACATCTGTCAGAAGCAAGTGCTTCAAAGTCATAACCGTAACCAATCTGCCTTAAGGGCCAGTAAAAAGACACTATTTACAATTAGTGTGAGCCATTTTATATTCTGATATAAAATTTGATACTTTTCTGCAGACAATATTGACATATATTAATACTAACAATGCTGTTTTAACTACCTAGAATAACTAAACTAAATGATTTAAGAGAATGATGGTGATACCTCTAGTACACGGAGAATTTGTAGTCTATGTTCGGGATCTTCTGCTCTCACCATCAGACGGCACATATTTAATACATCATCCTTGTTTCTCAAACCCTGGTGAAGCTCAGACATTCTCTCTATCTCTTCTTCCAGCTGCAATTATTTATCATCATATCACATGTCACACAAATGAATGGCATTCCTCAGAACTTGGGACCCAAATCAATTAATATTTTTCATACTGTTTGATATGATTATAAATTTTATTAGAAAGATTCTTCTATGCTCTGCATGAAAAGTATTTAATAAAGAATTGTTAATAAATCAAGTGACACCATTGAAGTTAACTATTGATCACAAAAAGTCTCTCGAGGTTATATAATGAAGTTGTGATGGCTAACATGTTGACCAAAGACAGACACCAGACAAAGCATCATGAAAAACAAGAAGAAACAAACATGTTCAGTTATATTATACCTTATCACTATCATCAAAAAGTTCTTTCTTTTTCTTCTCTGACTCATCTACGGAGATAGATCTTCGTGTAGATCGTAGTTCCATTCTTTTATCTCCGCCCAGCCAACCTCTACATATGTCTGTACCACAGAAACATTTCTGTGCTTCTTTACTGAAATATCACATTATCTTTATACTTTATAATAGAAATAGACTTTCTCAATAGCCCCCCAAAAATATGAAAAGAAAAAAAGAATAAAAATTTGCCGCATAATACATTTGTTTAGTGATTTGTGGAGTTTTTCAACATTCTTAGCCGAATTTCATATCTAAATGAAACCAATACTATATATACTATATACTAATATATCCATTTTCATCAATCCGAGAAAATAGCCACAGTTAAATGTGATAAATTTGTTACTTAACCATCTTTTATGTGTTATGTTAAAAAGATAACTTTCAATAATTATGACATGCATCAACAATACAAAACTTACCCATAAACTTCATATTTGTAATCAAATGTGATCTCTTCACCTTTCTTTATAGGTTTTCTCACAAAAAACCCAACCCTAAGTGTTCCATTCACTGTCCACTGTAATCATTAAAACAAAGTTATAGAATATCTTTCTGTTACATCTATTCTGACTTAGGATAGACATATTCTTCGTTCATTGTTAATATGCAATCATATTTTGCAACCGTATTTTTCCACAGGTTTATATGACAAATCATAATTAGATTATTTAATTATGACTCGCAGTTAACAAACTTTTTGATGAAGTGGCAGCCTTTACAGAAGGCTGTAAACTGAACCATAGTTTACAATACGTAGATGAAGTAATAAGCTTGATTACTTTTAGGATATAGAACATTCTTAACCATCGGTTGACTTTTTTCCACTCATCAAAACAAAGAAAAATATGAAGAATTGTCCCATAGATAACATCTAAGTACCAGTTTTCTGAACACAAATAAAATGCTTATCTAGATGCTTTTAAAATTATAATTAAAAGTATCTACATGCTTTTAAAATTATATTTAAAAGTAAGGTCTACTAAATATAAATGTTTAAATAACTAGCAGCAAGTACACATATGTGAAGAAAGCATATTATTCAGCGAAGACACTAAAAACAGCCATTTTTTGTCACAGAATTTAGTGATTCCTAGTGTATATTTCAGCCATATTTTCAGAGAATCGTAGGAGTTAAAAGGCCTGAGATATCAGACTAAAAATTTACATGAGTGAGTCAGCTAACAATAAAGAGCCTGGTAAGACTGCAAGGATGTACAGAATGACCTGGTTCTATACTAATAGCAAAGGCTTATTACTTTCAGATTTAGAAGGATTTGTGTAGCAACATTATAAACATCTTCACAAATGGAAAAACAAACCAACATACCTTCTGTGTTTCACAGTTGGGATCACAACTGTGATTTATAAACCTAGAAATGTTCCCTTTTACTGTAGCATCAACAATCTCCTCTGGATTGATGGCCATGAAGTAGAAATGTTGCTGGCCTGCTTTAGAGTATTGTTTGGATCGTTTCTTAAACAGCTGATAATCTAGTACCTCTCCAACATATTCCATTACAAACTCACCCCTGATGTAATATATATATGTATGTAGCTGTTTTTAAACAAAAATCTATATATCAACTTCAGTGCTTGTGATTTTAGCTTGATTCTGATGTAACTAAACTGAATCACTATTGAATCCACATTCTAGAACAGAACTGTTATATAAGGGAACATGATCATGATTGATAACAGTAAGGATTATACCCATGCTGTCTTGTATGAGAGGCTGATACAATAACAGCTACAGTACCACACCACTCGAAATATATAGTTGTTTATCCTACAATAATTTTTTGTTATAAAAATCTAACTAACTATTTATTAATTGGAAAACCTCTAAGTTCGAATAATATGTGTTCATATATACTGCTTGTCAAAATCTAGTATAAACTCAACAACACAAATAAAAATTAATGCAGTTCACTCTATAGTGTAAATAAGAACTTACGGTTCTAGGTCTTCCAGAGCTTTCAAACCATATCCTTTCCAGTCAGTTCTGAATGGTGTAACAGTCGCATTTTGTCTCTGTAAATAAATATTTCCTTACAATGTAAATACCATCTACATTATCAAACAATGCTATAATTTGATTACCTAAATCACAAAGTTACATTAAAATTCTATTTAACTAATATAGCTGTTAGATACAACATTAGAATTAACTGCATTAACTTCTAAAATCAAAATTTTAACATGATTTTGTACTTATGATTTATCAATGAGAAGACAACTTGAAATACAGATTGTTAAAACAATTCAAAGGCAGAGATAAAACAATGTATAATAAAAATAACAGCCAAATAATATTGTTTACAGATCAAGTATTCAAGATGCCACAATGATGGACCTTTGAGAGTTTTTCACCCGAAGTTTAAGCAGAAACTTGTTGGGGTTTTTTTTCATCTCCTAAATACCAAATTTATCATCAGTTAATCTGCCAACTTAAAGGGTATAAAGCTATCTCTATGAAATATTTTTTATAAAATTAAAAAACGTTAAATTTATGCTGTTTCCATATTCGGAAGAGTTAACACACATGAAATCTATACTAGGGTTTTGTTTAACCAATTTTATTGAAGTCTACAATACAAGTCAACTTAATTATACAAAATAAAGTCTTACTTTCTGGAATCTTTTATTTGTACAGTACTCCCCACAAGGGCATTTTGAACCACTGAAATATATACATATAAATATATTCAATATAACTTACAATTTGCATAAGTTGAAAAAGCTGGTCTAACAAAGAAAACAAACTTCAAGGAAAACATTAGTATAGGTGATACAAAATGTTATTCATTTACAACAGTTACATTTCACTTAAATTTAATGATGTGAAATTGGAAGTCAAAATCGATGATGATAGTAATTACCACTCAATGAAGAGCATTCTGTTGAGACAATCTTCACCACAGGCATCGTATCCCATCTCTCGATCTTCTTTACATGTTGTACAGTCACACACCATCCTCCTTACCTCACGCATCTGTTTAGATCTTTTCCTAAATGTACACAAAATAATTTATTGCCAAAATAAAAGCAGAAGGAAACTTGCCATTTTTATAATATTTTCATTTTATTTCTCTTAATTGAAAAACATATAAATATAGAATGTCATCAGACATCTTACAAAAACAGATATCTTAAATATGAAAAACAAATTCTAACTTTTCAGCCAGGCATGAAAATAACTAATGTTTTATAATAAACTCACCTTTCAGCTAAGTATATGTTTTCATCAATCAGTTCAAAATCAATTGGAATAGCCTCATCATCCTCTGCCTTTTCAGCTTTTACCAGCTCATTTCCAAATTTTTTACTAGGAGGTGGTGGTGGAGGTGGCGTTTCAGCTTCACTTGCCCTGCGCCACCGAGACTTCACCTTGATTGGTTTACCTACACCAACATCCGAATCTGACATGTCCTCTGACTGACTTTGTGGAGTGCCTTCATCATATGCCCCTTCATCAGGCTTACAAACAAATTCTGCTTTATGTTTTTCTGATTCTACATTCTGCCCTTCAGAAAGTTCTGAACCATCTTCAAATTTACTAATTGTGGCACTTTTAACAGGAATGACAGGCTCCCATTTTCCAAAACCAGTATGATCTTCAACCTCTAAACTTTTCTCTGCAATGGATACTTCATCAAATTTCTTCGTCTCTTCCAGTTTTTCTTCAAACTCAGGTTTCTTAATATCAAGTTCAGCTTCCTTCTCAGGTTCAATAGTTACAAGATCCTCTTGCCTTGGTTCAAACCTACTTACTCGTTTTTTCCTCCTTTTATTCTCTTTTGATGCATTTTCATTGTCCTCATTTTTAGACACTTGTCTCAAATTTGGATGTCCTGGTATGCCAGGTCCCCCAAATCCATGCTTAAATTCAAGTTGCTCTTCATCATCTTCATTAAAATCTGGTATTGGGGTACGATTATACTCTTCTTCAGGTTCTGTAGGTTTTACTTCTAGATGTCTCTGATGTTCAAATGAAGGTCTAGAATCCTGTCCTGATTGATGATACCCAGATGGTTGAAATCCAAAAGACTTTTGGTGCATTCCATCTTCACACTGTCCTAAAGGAGGTCCAACAAGATGATGAGGTGGACCTGAACTGCCTTCCATTTGAGAATTTTGACCCATTTGAGCCTGGCCATGATCTAAAGACATTGAATGATGAATTGGCATCATGTTTGGATCTATTTGATGAGGTCCTGGTGGAAATATTCCTGGACCAAATCCAGGACCTAAAGGAAATGGTTGTGGTGGTCCAGGAGGCATTGGTGCTTGCATCATGTGTGGAGGAATACCTTCAGGATAAAAATGGGGTCCCATTGTTGGTTGTTGTTGTGGACCCATGAGTTGGGGCTGGAATATGTTTGGGTCTGCCGGAAACCCTGAATATGGCTGCTCTGGCATTGATGGAAACATAGGCATATTCTGTTGGTGAACTGGAAATGGCTGTGGCAAAAAATGAGGAGCAGAGCTAAGATCTGCTTGTACATACTGACCATGGGTTTCCATGAATTGATTACTTGCATCTGGTAATGAATGATGTTGTTGAGAAGCCGGAGTTGCTATTGGATGTGACACAGAACTCAAAACAGGGGAGGACCCTACAGGTTGTAACAAGACTTTCTTTTTTTCTGCAAGTTCCTTTTCAAATTTTTCTAGAGCAGACTCCTTTTTTGGTTTTTCACTTTTAGGTTTGTCCCTTCTCTTGTCCCTATCTCTACTGTGACTCCTACTTCTTCTGTTTCTACTCCGAGATCTGCTTCTTCTGCTTTTACGGCGATCTTTAGATCTACTTCTTCTATCTCTACTTCTACTTCTACGATCTCTTGATCTGCTCCTTCTGTCCCTTCCTCTACTCCTACTACGCCTATCACGGCTTCTACTTCTTCTGTCTCGACTCCTACTTCTTCTGTCCCTACTGCGACTTCTTCTATCTTTTGACCAACTTCGTGATCTTCTCCTAGGTCTATGCCTATCCTCTTCTCTGAATCTCTTTTTACGCCTCCTCTCTCTACTTCTATCACGTTCCCGGCTCCTATCTCTACTTCTTCCTCTATCTCTTCCCCTGTAAGTGTCTCGATCCCTGCTTCTTTCTCTACTCCTACTATCACGACTTTTCCTCCTATCTCTGTGACCTTTATTGTCCCTTCTGTCTTCAAAATCATCATCTCTTCTGTACTTTTTGTCAGCACTTCTTTCAAAATCCCTTTGTAAATTTGCTATACTGCTTTCTGTTTCTTGACCATCAGAACTTTGACTATTAGCTATCTGTCCATGAAATACTGGACTTTCACTGAAGGAACTGCTAAGATCCAAACCAGGATTTGTGTCCTGAGTATGAAGCTTCTTTAATAGTTCTTGCTTTTCTTGTTCAAGCTGTCCAAGATCTGCCTCATCATAACTCCTCTCAAAACTAGGATTTTCATGAGATCCTGAATGTATCAAAACACTTCCAGATACATGAGTTGAAGCTGTTACTTTTGTTGTATCCACTCTCTGACCAACAACCTCAATCTTTTTACCTTGAAGTAATTTTGCACTTCTTTGTAACACTTCAAGTCTTCGTAAGTTTTCTTGCCCTATAACCTGGATTGCTTTTCCAATCTGTTCTGGACTGATTTGAGAAGTTTTTAAAATATTTTCAGCTTTTCTTACTTCTTCAGAATGAGGAGCTTGTAAGGCTTCCCCAGCTTCTGCAGATTCAGAAATAATTTGCACATTTGAAGTGCTAGGTGCTGAATGCTGTGAAATATATACATTTTCGTCTGAAGAAACTTCTTCTTTCTTTTTATCATCTGACTTGTTGTCACTTTGACTTGAACTTGCACTTAAATTTGTTGGGCCTATTACCTCAATGACATTTTCAGAATGTTGGCTGTTGGATGATGAATTTCTTTCTTCAGACAAGGGCTTGAATGATGCAACAGCTGTTGTAAGTATAGGTGGTTTAGGTAAAATATGAAATTCAGGAGGTCCAAATGAAAGAGGTTTAATTGGGTCATCAGACAATTTAAAACTCATTTTTGGTTTAACAGAAAGTGAGCTTTCAGTGTCAAAAACATCTTCCAACATCTGACTTGTCAACTTTTTCTTAGGTTTTTTCAATACATTTGGTTGTAACTTAAGCGAAAAACCCTTAACAGAATCTTTCAGGAATGTTTCTTGGAGTAATCTTTTTGCCTCTTCTTTACGTAACTCTTCAGATGGTTTCTTATCCGTTAACACAAGAACTTTAATATCATGTTTCAAATCTTTGTCTGTAGGCATCTGAACAATTTCTATCTTTTGGGGTGTCTCTTCAGGTTCATCTAGTTCCATGTCCACTGTCTCAATTGTTTCTTTACTAGTTTCCCCGAGCTTACCACTAGATTTGCTCGTTTTTGATCCAACCGTATTCTCATTTTCATCAATGCTTGAAGTTGGAATTGGTATGTCCTCAATTCTGTCACCAACTATCTCTGTTTGATATTGAGGCACAGGCACAAGTGGAGTTTCAACTTCAGTGGACAATGTTGAAGTCTTTGACTTTTGTTTTTGACCTAAAATCTCTTCTGTAAGAATATGTTTGGTTGGTACATCCTGAACCGAATCTTGTTTTTTATCATTTTGGCTGATGCGTCCCTTTTTTGGATTGATAGTTTTAATTTGATCAAAACTGTTTAAGTTTTTTTCTGATTCATTTAGAACAGGTGATTCAGAGCCCAGCTTATCATCCAAAGAAAGTTTTCGTTCTTTTCTCCCTCTGCTGGGCATATCTCTGCTCATTACTGGTGGCAAAGAGACATTCTGAGCAGCAGCTTGTTTTCTAGTCAATCTCTTAGTCTCTACATTAATGGGTTCTGGTTCTTGTTGAGCTTCCTCCCTACCCGATTGGACATTTTCATTTTCATCCTCATCACTATTATATTTGAGCAACTGTTCTTTTTCTTTAAAAAATGACGATGACTCACTTCTTACATTTGTTTTAGACAAATCATATAACTTTTCAACAGACACCGTTTCTTCCTCTTTTAAATCTTTTTTCTTTGGGGAATATTTAAATAATCCTGTTGGTGTTTGTCCCCAAGAACCTTCTAAGTCATCACATATACCTTTATCATTATCTTTAAAATCATCAGAAGCTTTGACATTGGTTAATTGTCCATGAATCTTCACTGGAGAAAATTGTTCAAACAAATTTGACCTTTCAGACTGTTCAGCTGTGGGAGAAGTTAATTTTGCTTCTTGTTCAGCAGGTGAATCCAGATTTGACTTTACAGTTGATATACTGGTTGAAAGTTTAAAACTAATTTCAGCATCAACATCGATAAAATCATTTTTCTCATCCCGATGGGGAGATATTCTGGTAATTTTTTCTGATGATTCTGATTCTAGAAGTCCTACTTCAGCTAATGACTTGTTAATGTCAATATCAGATTTTTTAAGTAAATTCTTTTGCTCTGAACCATCTACAGAATCTGACCTTATTAATGCAACTTTTTCAAAATTAAAATTTTCTGATTTCTTTTTATTTCCTTTTTCCACTACTGAAATCTCATCCAAAGATGTTCTGTCATTATGCCTTTTCATCCTTACAACACTGTCTTCATCATCAGATGCACTTGAACTAGACTCAACATCAGAACTGTCACTAGATTCATTTCCAGAAGAGCTTCCTTTTCTTTGTTTTGTTCTCTTTCTTGGGCGTTTCTTGTCTCTATCAGTGCTTGAAGACTTACTTCTAGATTTACTTACTTTCTTTCTTCTATTTTTTGAAGAAGCATTTCTTTCATGTCTATCATCGAGGGATCTCCTATTTCTATTAGAATGTTTATCTGGAGTTTTACTTTTCGCTTTCCTTCTTTCTCTAGAATTACTCCTGTGCCTTGTTCTCCCATGTGAAGAGCTTCTTCTAGTTCTTCTCTCCCTTGTTTCACTCCTGCACTTGTGTTCCCTGGACAAACTTCTATCCCGAGATGATCTTTTCCCTTTCTGTTTATCTCTAGAATAACTTCTTCTTCTTCTGTCCCTCGTTTTTTCTCTGTATGTACTTTGAAAGCGTTCATGAGATAAACTTCTTTCACGGTCTTTTGAAACACTTCTATTATGGTGAGCTTTTCCCTTTATGTCTCTTGAACCACTTCTTCCTCTTTCTTTTGATACACTTCTTTTGTAATTATAACCTACATTTGCTTCTCTAGTTTTTGATTTATCCCTTTCTTTAGACAAACTCCTGTGCCTTTCCCTTGAACGGCTCTTACTTTTTTCCTTTGACATACTATTGCTTCTCACTTTCGACATATGTTTTATTGGATGTATAATTTTTTTATCTTCACACTCTTCATCTTTATTCATTTCAATATCTGTATCAGTCTTCTCTAACTGTTTCTCTATAACTTCTGCAGCTTGTATGGATTTCTTCAAAGCCTTTTTTGTTTCGTAAAAACTTTTCTTTGCTGGTTGATTTTCAGAAACTGTTATCTCCTCAGCATGAGTACTGAGTTTTAGTTTAGGCATTTGAGATAGTTCATCTGTTTCTTCTACATCTTCCACCATTATTGCAGACTTTCCAATAATTTTCCTACCAGTGGTAAATTTCATCGTTATCTTCTGCCCTTCTGTCCTTTGAGAAGAACTATGGAGATTACTTACAGCAGCTACGTTTGGAACAAACGAAAATGCTTGCTGATTAACTGATTCACCAATCTCATCTGGTATTGGAATTTTCTCTATAACAAGGTCAGTACTATCTAAATCTGCATCTTTTCCTTTCACAGAAGTTGTTTCTCTTTCAATGTCTCTATGCTTCTCAACTTTAGGACTTGATAATGGTGTTGAGTCTGAATCTACAGAAAATGGATCGTATAAATCATCATTATCAGGATTATTTTCCTGCTCTGCTTTTTTCTGATCATCAGTATCCCATCTTGATTTAATTTTTGTTTTAAGTTTATCTTTTTCATTTGGAATAAATGTCTTTATTTGAACTTGCTTCAATTTAGGTACAATCTTTGCATCAGATCCTGAATATTTTAAGTCAAGCTTATCAGATGTAACACTTGAAGTATTTGTCTGTTCTTTAGTACTGGAGTCAATACTTCTTTGAATTACTCCGAGGTTTGGTATAGTAACTGTAGGTGGTGGAATATTCAATGCATGTGATGAAGGTAAAACTTGTTGTGCAATAGTTGATGGTGGATTAACAACATTCTGAATTATGGACTGTTGGTGGTTGGAGGGAGCAGGTACCCCAACTGGTGCAGGCACTGGAGCAATTACTGAATGTAGTGCTTGAAATGGATAAACAACAGGCTGAACATTTAAATTTGACACAGATGTATTAATTCCTATATCTGGTAGAGTTTTAGATGAAAACATGGATGACTGAGAAGAGACAACTAAAGGTTTTTCTGATTTTGATCTAGCAACATTTTCAAACAAATCAGATTTGTTATTATGTTCTTCAGAATCTGATTCAGAACTGTTATTCAAATGTTCAAAAGGGTCATATAAGTCAGCCTTACAAGTTTCTTGCTTTTTTTGTTCTGCACTATTTCCATTATCTTCGGATACATTTTTCTTCTCAATATCAGTTTTTACTTCATCTTCTGACATGTTCAAGTTTGTGCTTGTATCAGTATCACCACTAAGCCTAAAACTGATTCTTGCTTTTGCTTTTTGTGACTGTGCCATTGTTTCTCCTGGATTTCGACACTGATCAGTTTCCATTGGCTCTTCTTTATGGTTGTCTAACAATTCAGGTATATTTTTGTTTACTTTTTCTTTACTCACTTCTTTAGGTGAGGATGAGTCAATATCTGATGCATAGTCTACAAGCAGACTTTTATGTCTGGATTGATTAAGGTTTGATTTTCTTGATTCCTGTCCAAAGTCTGACTTCTCCTTCTCTTCAGGAGGCTTTTCACTATCTTTAAATACTGCAGAATCCTTATCTTCTTTATTTACGGAACGAAAACTGTCTGTACTAGAATTCAGTTTGTCAGTTTTATCTGCATTGTTCCCAGATTTTTTCTTCTTTTTTTTCTTCTTTTTCTTGTGTTTTTTCTTTTCTTTTTCCTTCTTATCCTTTTTCTTTGAATGCTTTTTGGATAACTTTTCATCTTTACTAAATATATCAGTCTCACTTTCACTATTATCACTTGGTACTGAAGGTATTTCAGAATTTAATTTCCCTCGAGATGATGCACATACATTTGCATCAGAAATAGTTTCAAATTCTTCTTTATCAATCTTTCCTTCTTCATTCAAATTATTGTTTGAAATATTTGCCTCTTCAATGTCTGTATTTTCTACTGTCTGGGGAGTACCTGGGACAGGCCCCATTTTGGAACCTGTCCCAGCTTTCACGTTTTTTTGACCGGTCTGTTTTGAATGTTTTCTCCTCTTTTCAATGTCACTTTCAGAACTAGAGCTAGAACTGGAAGAGTCACCACTTTTACTTGAACTGTACCTGCGTTTTTCCTTATCTACTTCTCTTTTCTTTCTTGACCTATAATCTTCATCATAGCTTTCATCCCTATCTTTGTTCCTTCTATCCTTCACATTTACTTCTTTTTCTTGCCAATTTGAGCTTCGACTTTCTCTTGCATATCTATCATCAGTTCTTGGTGATACACTTTTTTTCTCACTTCTTTTTCTACTCTCTCTATCTCTGCTTCTTTGTCTCTCTTCGTATTTCCGCCTTGATCGTTTTTCATCACTTGAAGAGTCATCTCTATGTCTGGGACTTTGATCTTCCCCTGAATCACTATCACTAGGATTCCTTTCCCTCTTCTTTTCTAATTTAAAAACTTTACTTCGGGATCTACTCCTACTTTTGCTTTGTGAGTCAGGGCTCCTACTTCTTTTTCTCAGCTTTCCTGTGTCAAAATCATTCAAATTCCTTTTCTCTTTACTCAAACTACGCTTCTCTTCTACAAGAATTTTTTCCTTTAAAAACAATTTTCTTTCTTTAGACGAACTAACTGAACCTTTAATATTAGTATCACTTTCTGGATCACTTCTCTGTTGTTTCCTACCAGAGTATCCCTTTTCTTCCTTTTCATTACTTGTGCTACGTTTCTTTTTCCTCACATCAGAATCCTTATCAATATGATGTTCCTTGTACTTCTTAATTCCTTTCGTGACCTCAGTTAATTTATCATCACTGTCATCACTGTTGTATTTTTGTCTTTCTTTGCTTTTTCCTTTCTTTCTCCTGTAATCATCATCTGAATCACTTCTATCTTTTCTTTTCTTTCTACTGTTATCTTCATTAGATTCACTATCATTTTGTTCTATTGCTTTGGGTTTCCTGTTTCTTTTTCTTCTCTGAACATCATCATCGCTCAATTCACTTTCTTCTGAATGTCGTTTGCCTTTTTTTGATTTTTTGTTTCCTTTAATTTCTTTCTTTTGCTTCTCTTTAGACCTGTATCTTTGTCTAGAATAATCTTTATCATCATCCATACTTTCACTTTCTCTAGACGGTCGTCTTTTTTGTTTTTCTCTTTCCTTATGGTATCTAGTTTCATCTTCACTTTGCTGAAAAATGTCTTGCTTAGTATATTTATCTCTAGTTTTCTTTTCGGTTTCTTTATATTCCTTCGGTTTATCTTTAATTCTTCTTGCTATTTTTTCTTCTTCACTGTCACTTTGATATTGTGACTTTTTGGTTCTCTTATCGCTGCCTTTCTTTTTATATTCATAGTCATCTGAACTTTCATATCGTTTTTCCTTGACTTTTTTCAATTTATCTTTTGATTTCTTTGATCTTGTTAGAGACTCATCACTTTCAGATTCATATTTCTTTAATTTTTTTGATTCCTTGTATCTCTTCCTTAACTTTGTTTCATCGTCACTGGAATCAGAATCTGAACTAGCATGTTTGCCAGAGTGTTTCCTTTTATCTTTTTTCTGACTACCATCCTCATCACTATCATAGTCATCATTTTTTTTCTTTTTCTTGGATTTCTTTTTCTTCTTTTGCTTTATTGGTGAATCATCATTCTCACTTTCAGAATCTGCATGTCTCCTTTCTTTCTTAGTTTTCTTTTTAGATGATTTGTCTTTTTTCTGTTTTCTCTTAGACTTGGAATCATTTTCATCACTACTATCACTACTTTGATCACTTACTGATTCCCTTTGTTGTTTAGCTTTCATCATCTTATTCAGCAATTTCAATTGATTGATCTTACTTATATCTATTTCTAACTTCACAGTTCCGGATAAATTTTTTGATGAAGCATCCTCTTTTCTTGAGCGTGTACCTGAGCTACTTCTAGCAGGCAGCAATTCTTCATTGTGAGTCTTTTCATAATCATCACCACTTTCACTTCCACTGTCCCATTTTGATTTAGCAACTGAATGCTCAACAAGTTCAGCTCGACTTGGCCTATCTTCATGTCTTTTTTGTCTACTGTCATCTTTTCTACTGCTTTTGTAATTGTCTCCACTATCACTGTCATAATCCTTATACTTTCTTCTCCCCTCACGTTCCTTTTCAAAATCGCCTTCATCTCTTCTATCATACCTTTTACCTTCTTTGTCCTTATCCTGTTCATAATCTCTCTTGTATTTTTCTTCTTTTGTTTCTCTATACCTGTCTTCTCGAGCATTTCTACCCCTTTTATAACTTGACCTGTCTTCTTCATCTCTATGTCTGCTTCTTTCATTTCTAGAAAAATCACTTGTATCATCTCTTACAGCTCTTCTGTCATCTTTATAGGATTTCAATCTTCCATCTGAATCATCTGTGATCCTTTCTTTTCCCCTATCTTTATCCTTGTATTTCTCTTTCTCATACTGCCTCGATATTTCCTTGTCTTCACTATACCGCCGACTTAATTTGTCTTTTTCTTCTGGTGTCAAAGCTCTTTTCTGCCAAGAATTTTTAGACATTAATTTTTCATCTTCTGAAGATGAAGAATGACTGATTTTTTGTTTCTCACTTCTTTTTTCTTTTGTCAGATAATCACTTGTTTCCATTTCTACATTATTATCATTGTCTCCTGAAATCTCAGAAAATCTCTGCTTATCTCTGTCATAATCTTCAAATATACCCCTTCCTTTCTTGTCTGCAGTTTCTATGAATAAATTGTCTTTAACATCAGTTTCCATTTCCTCTGTTGGCTCTGTCTTAACAACTACTGATTCTTTTTCAATATCTAAAGTAAAGCTTTTATCTCTGCTTCTACTTTTCTTTTTATCAACTGATAAATTTCTGTCTTTTTCTTTTCTCTGAAATCCTTCACTTGAACTTCTTGAATTCCGTTCCTTTTTTTTCTTCCTAGATTTCCTTTTTTCCTCTTCTGAATCACTATTACTGCTGCTTGAGTCACTTCTAGAACTACTCTCATCTTTTCTATGTTTCTGCTTCTTCTTCTTTCGATCTTTCTCTTTACTTTTTCTGTCTCTGCTTTGTTTAACTTCTTTATCTTCACTGTCTCTTATATGTTTTCTATCTTTTTTTGCACCACCTCTTCTGTCTCTTTCAGTACTGCCCCTTTCTTTAGATATTCTTTCTCTGCTCTTTTCTCTTGACCTCCTATCTTTACTATCTCTTTCTCTATAAACCTCATCTTTAGCATCTCTTTCCCTTGACTTTCTATCCCTACTTTCCCTTTCCCTTTCTCTAGACTTATACTCCCAGCTCTTTTCTATACTGCGTTCTCGGCTTCTTCTAGAACCCTGGTTTCTACCAGGTCTAACTCTTTCGTTACTTCTATCATTGAATCTTCCTCTTTCTCTTGATGTGTTGCTTTCATGTTTTATACTATCTGCTTCTCCAGGTCTAGGAAAACGCCCATAGCGTTTAAAAAATTCTCTATCTTTTCTCCATGGAGAGAGTGACCTATCTCTCCTTTTAGATTGGTCTTTTGAAATGCTCCTCTCTCTTGACTTACTCCTTCTTCCTCTAGATCTGCTTCTCTCGGTTGATTTTTTCCTTTCTCTTGATTTGCTCCTTTCATGGGAAATGCTTCTTTGTTTCTTATACTTCTTTCTTTCTCTTGAATCTGATCTTGATAGAGATCTTTGATCTGGAGATACAGATTTTGATTTCTTTCTTCTCTCTTTAAAAAGTGATTTTGATTTTCCCTCCAAGTCTTTCTCTTTTGAATGTTTTTCCCTCTTTTCTGAACTACTTTCTTTTTGTATCTCTCTGTATGACAATTCTTTCTTTTGCTCCTCTTCGGTTGATAAGGCTGTTAAGACTTGTTTCTCTTCCTCCTCCTTTTCTGCTTCTAATTGTTTAAGCTTCCTGATAGCAAATGTGAATTTACCCTGGCCTTTGTCTTGGGCTTTCGCTTCATCTTTCACAGATGTTTGCTGTGAAAGTGGAGTTGGCAAAACAACTGGAAATTTTGTGAATTCAGTTTTGCTATCTGTCTTTTTTAGCTGTCGCTTTTGCTTAAATTTTTCCAGCAATTGGGAAGCTGTCACAGGTTCTTTTGGAGTTTGTGATTCCAAAGCACTTTCCTCCTTAACTGATGACTTATTCTCATAGTACAGATATCCTTCACCATCAGTAACTTGGTCCTCAGAAAATTTCAACTCTGATTCAATTAACGTTTCGGATTCATCTGTTTCCATTGCCGCTGATTCATCTTTTCCAGCATCATCTTTAGTTGGCATAGGTTGATTGTCTTCAATATAAGGTACATCTTCTTCTGACTTCATAGTGTTTGGTGGTATGGTGCTGCTCAAGTGCTGGACTTGTTGATCAGATGGTGCCTGCAAAATGTTCGAAACTGGAACTTCTTGTTGCTGAATAACTGCTGTATTCTGAACAGCTTGTGTTAGAACTGTGACTTGCTGCTGCTGTATCTTAGAAACCTGCGCTAAAGAAGCCGTCTCTTGCTGGGAAACAACAGGCACCTGATTAGTTTGCTTTAAAGGAGTTATTGAAACTACTGCTGGTGGTGCTACAGGTTGAGGTGTCCAATTAGGATCAAACCTGGATCTCCTTGCAGATTGAGAAGGTTGTGTCACAGTCTGAATTGGTATTTGCACAACAGAAACACTTTGTACAATTTGTTGGTTTCCTGTTGGTGGTGTAATCTGGACAACCTGCTGTTGTGGAGTTGTAGCTGCAACTCCCAGTACCTGACCTTGAGAAACCTGTTGCAGTTGAGCCTGCTGTCCAGTTACTTGAGTTGTTCCCTGAACAAACTGTCCAAGAGACTTCGCTCCTGGAAGCCCTGAAATTCCATCTTCAGTCAACTGCTGATGAGTTGAAATAGGTAGTGTCTGAGCTACCTCTGTCATTGGTTGTCCACTAAAGCCTTGTGAAACAGCTGGGGAAATTGCTGTCATTTGATGTAAGGAGGAAGAAACTGGTAATGGGGGCTGATCTTCAAATGCTTTTATTTGGCTTGATGAATATGACTGTAATTGTGGATGTTGTGGTTGTGTATTACTCTGTGTAGGTTGCTGCTGAAATAGGGAAGAAGCTGATGATGCTTCAGCTGGAAGTTGTGGCATATCAGCAGAGCCTATAACTGTTGAAGACACAGGTTGTTCAGGTTGCAGCACAGGAATCGGTGGAGTAGCAGGTTTAGGAGCTGGTCCAACTATTTGCACAGCATCTGGAGGTGGTGGAAACATGACGTTTTCAAGATCTTTGTCACGCTTTTTCTTCTTTTTTTTCTTAGGTTCAGGTGGTAGAGGGACATCATCTGGTAAAGGAATTGACATTGGCAATGGTACTTCATCAAATTCAAAGCTTTGCTCATCTGATACCCTCTCAGAATCTCCTTTCTTTTTTTTCTTTTTGGATTTCTTTTTTGGTGTTCCTCCACTAGATTCAGACCTAGGTCTGCTTTTATTATCAGCATCCAAAATTTTTGCTAAATCTGGATTCATACCCATGGCAATGAGCTTTTCTGCAGATTCTTGGGCTATTTGTGGTTTAGCAGCAGCAGCCTCAGGTGGAGGAATACCTTGAAATGCTGGATTGAATCCCTCACCATGAAACACTTCACCTGAAAAAGTCTGCGGAGGCTGTGGTATATTAGGCATATTAAAATTTGTTTGAGGTGGTGGTGGAAACCCTTCACCTTGCCATGGTCCTTGTGGTGGTGGAGGAAACCCAGGCCCTGGAGGTCCAGGTGGTCCTTGATAACCAGGTCCCTGTGGTGGCCCTGGTCCCATTCCATATCCATGTGGAGGAAAATTTCCAGGTCCCATAGGTGGTCCACCTGGACCAAGTGGTGGTCCACCAGGTCCCATCGGAGGACCCCCAGGTCCCATTGGAGGTCCTACAGGACCCATGGGTGGTGGACCCCTGGGTCCCATCATTGGCCCAGGCCCATAACCATGGGGTCCATAATTTCCATGACCTTCTGGTCCATATGGTCCATCTGGTCCAAAATTTCTAGGTCCATATCCTGGTGGCCCTGGTGGACCATGGTGCCCATGTGGAGGCCCAGGAAAATTTGGCCTCTGTCCATAAGGTCTAGGGCCTGGCCCAAAGTCTCTCCCAGGTGGACCTGGTCTTCCTCTGTCATAGGGTGGACCAAATCCATCATCATAATCTCGTCCATAATCACGGTCACGATCACCAAAATCATCCTCAAAATCCTCCTCATCAAAATCATCAGGATATTTATATTTGCCATGTCTTGGTCTACGCCATGGTCCTCTACCAGGACTATGATCATCGTCATCCATTTCTTCTCCCCTTCTTCTATCATCACCTATTCTGCGATCATCTGCCAAACGTCCTCTATCTTCAGAATGTCCTCTGTCATCCATGCGACCCCTACTCCTGCCACCAGAATATCTCCCCATATTCTTTTCTCTATCATTCTTATTAAAATCATCCTCATCAAGCTCTATTGGTCCAGTAATTCTGCTTGGAGGATTGGAAACAATTGATGGAGGGGCAGAGATAAGAGGCATAATTGTTGAATCATCTTTTATATCTCCCTGAGCTCGATTCTTCTTTCTTTTACTTTTATTTTTTGGAGGTTTTGTTTCATAGGGTAGAGGTGGTTCCTTTTCAACAGCAATTTCAATCATGCTATCACCTTGTCCTTCTTCTAGTTTAACTGACAAAATAAATATAATAAATAAATAAGTATAGTAACAAGAGCTGTCTGAGGAGCAGCCAACATCACTTTTCTTTTTTTCTTTTTTATATTATAATAAAAGCAAAGTAAAAGACAGACTTTCAGGGTAGTCTGCTTAAAAGTTCTTTCCAATTTATAAAGAGAGCAGGAATTCCAAGTTGATACATTTCAGAAATTTACCTTTACAAATAAGTTTTCATAAATAAGTCTCATGATAAACATTTGTGCCTCAAAAAACTCAATTCATGTTATTTGAAAATTCCTCCATGCACAAAGAAGTTATGGCATGGACAAGTTTGGATGCACGCACGCACACACAAACACTGAACAGCCATTATGACAACTATATCAAGCTTAGCGCAAGCTGGCTTGACAAAAATCCTCTGACAACTAAGCATAATATTTCAAAGAATAAGCAAGATACAGTGTTGACAACCAAAATTTTATATTTTCATTTGAACTTTGACCTCTTGTGACCTCGACTAATTTTGCGAAAGACAACTCGACTCACTCGGTTATATTAAAATCCATGCAAGTATATAAAAGTTATACTCACAAATAAATATTTTAATTTGTAAACTGATCTTTGACCCGGAAGAAAGACCTTGACCATGGACCTGAATTTTGCGTGTGACATACCACCCAAACATGGTGAACATTTGTATCAAACCAAAGATTTTGTACTCCTTCAAAGATTGAGCAAGATGTAGACCAGACAAATCTTGACAACTGATGGATGCACATACACCAAACCGCCAAAAGTTAAAAGTGGCAACAATCGGCCTGAACAATTTAAAAATCCTCTGACCACTAAGCATTAGCAAGATACAGCACCAACAAATTTTAATATTGTTATCTGACCTTTGACCTCTTCTGACCTTGACTATCATTTTGTGCGAGACAACTCAACTCAACACAGAGAACATTTGTGCTAAGTTATATTAAAATCCATCTATGTAGATAATAGTTATACTCGCAAATGAATGTGTTTGATCTCTAAGTGTGACCTTAATGTTAACCACAGACATCTGAATTTTTTGCATGACACTGCCTTACTATGGAGAGAATTTGTCTCCTGTATATGAAAATCCCTCCATGCATGTGGAAGCTGCACTCTGGACATGGATTTTGCACTGACCTCCAAGTGTGACCTTGACCTTTAAGGTGTGGACCTGGGTTTTGTGTGCAACACACCATCCCATCATGTACCAAAGTATTTTATAATCCGAACGAGCAAGATACAGCGCAAACAAAAAAATTAATATTTTTATTTGACCTCTTGTGACCTTAACCTTCATTTTGCGCGAGACAACTTGACTCAATATGGAGAACATTTGTATTAAGTTATATTAAAATCCATCCATGTATAGAAGTTATACTCGAAAATGAATTTTTGAATGTTTTATTTTGTTACTTGACCTTTGAGGCTTTGACCCCTTAGTACAGTGGAAGTAAAGACATGGGTTTTGTGCTGACCCCAAAGTGTGACCTTGACCTTTCAGCGGCCGACCTGGCTTTTTGTGTAACACCCTATCATAATGAACATTTGTACCAAATTATTTTGAAATCTTTTAAAGAATGAGCAAGATATAGACTGGACAAATCTGGATGCAAGAACAGACGCACAGATGCACATACACCAAATTTAAAGCCAAAAGTGACAACTAAATCAAACTCGCCGCAAGCAGGCTTCACAAAAATAAACAAGCAAAACCCCAAGATGCAGAACTAACCATGCTGACAAAAATCCCTGCACATCTACACATGCTGACCAATATTCTTGTAAAGTTTCATGAATACTGGTTAAATTATTTTTGAGCTACACAATATACAAGTTGAAAATTGCAAATTTTTACTATGACAAGGGCAATAACTTACAAAACCCCAGATGCATAACTTCAAATGATGAATAATATTCCTGTAAAGGTTGTTGACTAGATCAAGGTTTTTTAGAGGTACATGTAACACAACATTTTGGAACAGTTTTTACTAAGTCAAAGGCAATTTCTCTGCAAAGACTGAAAAATATGCAACAAACCCCTAGGTGCACAAATACACATGCTGCCAAATATTTCTGTAAAGTTTCATGACTCAAGGCCAAATACTTTTTGGACTACGCACAACCCAAGTTGAAAATTGCAAATTTTACTAAGTCGAGTAAAAAACGCTGAATGAAAAATACTGAGTAAATGTGCAAGCAAACTCCCAGGTACACTACTACAAAAGCTGAGCAACATTTCTGTAAAGTTGTAAAAATGACCACTAGACTCAAGTCCAAGATCAGTTGTTACCAAGTAATTTGACACGGCCAAGGATCAAATAAGCGACGCCTGGGTTACCTAATTGGCCAAACAAGAGAAAATCTATGAAATATTAAATACCCTCAGTACTTTCAGGTGATTTTTCTGGTGTTATTTGTGGAATACCAGAGTACTCAGGTGGTGGAACCTTCATACCAAATGCACTTCCTAACATCAAGTGTATAGCAGCATTAGTTGCAGCTGCTTGTGCTGATGTCTCTGTAATAACAAACAACTTTTATAAACATCAAAAACACTATAACAAGTTAAAATCATTTAAAGCTTTTCCCTTCACATTTTATAAGCATATAAAATAAAGATACACCCAGGAAAGGAAATCATAATTTATAAGCTGCTAGTTCTTTATTCATAAATAAAAACAGTCATGACAAGTTTCCTTTCAATTTGAATAATTCTTATTATGGTTCACAATTCTGCCAATTAGTTTCAATCTCTTTTGATCTGTCCAAAAGAAATAACCCTGACACAAAATTGCTAACAAACAGACGGACGACCAGATACATTACAATATATGCCGAAATTTTTCAGGTGTATAGTATGTAAAATTACAAAGGACAATAACCGCAAATGTGAGTTACATCTCTTCTTCCCCAATGAGATCTATTCAGTTTCAAATTGATACCTCCAATATATTCTTAGTTATTCTCAAGACAAAATTTAAAAATATGAAAAATAATAATAATTGAAAACTTATGTAAATCATGAGTTATAGTTCTTGGAGATTCACTTTTTATGAAAGTATTATAATAAATGTAGGATTGAGACTGACCATCTTTAGACTCAGGTTTTTCTTCAGATTTTACATCTTCAGTTGAGGTAAACTCACTACATGGTTCATCCACCTCCATCGCTCCATCCTCACCCGGGCTCGCCATTACAACGCTCTTTATACTCTAACCTTACCTGAAATACATAGTTCCAAACCATTGCTTATATGACAGTCCAGAACAAAACTTGTAACACCAATCTTCATGACCTTTATTACACATCCAAGGGGCTTTTCAAATACCACCTTAACAATAAACTGGCAAGCCAACTTCTATTTTTAACTGGCCTATCCCATATCAACATATTTTTGTCAAAATTAACATTAAGTAACTTAAAATCTTAAGCTGTTAAAGTTTGGTACACATTTTGTTAAAACTTCACCCTACATTCAATTTATAAATTTGTATAGAATTCTGATATATTAACATTAATCTATATGATAAAAAATCAATACAACTCTACAGAGATATATAACTTGCTAGACATATAATCAAAACCTATATAAAATGTTCTGCTGTCCTGCTAAACATAACTAGAAATGCCACTGTCATGGCTTGAATACCCCTGCATACCACTTTGTCAGAATCAACAGTGGTCATTTAGAGCTCAAGGACAACCTCCCAGCCAAATCTGAGGTTAGTAAGCCAGTGCATTGCTAAGTTATGTGTAGTGGCAAAGATCAAAATGACCTTTACCTTTGACCTACTGTGAAAATGTCAAAATTTATACACTGCATTCTTAATAATCATGACTACCCTTCATGCCAAATATGAAGACTGTGAATCAAAGGATTCTTAAGTAATTGGGCAGACAGACAATTTTTTTAATCAAGGCCCCGTGACCTTGACCTTTGACTTGGTGACCCCAAAATCTACAGAGGTCATCTAATGGTCATGACTAACCTCCATGCCAAATATGAAGACTTTGGGTCAAAGGATTCTTAAGGTATATGGCAGACAAGGAAAAACTGACGGATGCCTGACGGCCGAACAGACAAGCTGATTCCAGTATACCCCCTTACAACTTGGTTGTGCCTGGGTATAAAAACATATTTTATAACCAAATTATTCATCATAACATGGCATTTATAACCATTATTCAAGAGGTTCATAAAATTAAACTGATATTCATTTGCAATATTAGTCATAAGAAGTTACAAAATTCATGCATTAAAAGACTGGATAAATCTGGAAATAAAGTAACAGTATCTTAAATCACTTACATCCTACAAAAGAAGAGAGGATTAGTTGTTTACAACATCAAGATATTGTAAAATATGGCTCAATTTATACAAATATGCTGAAAATAACTGTTATCAAATACTTATGTCTTTACTTATCTATTTGACATTACAGTTAGCTGATATTATAGTATGATTACAACATTTATGAAGGTAAATGAGTTACTGATTACAAGAATTAAGAGCATACCTGTATTTCTCCACTGGCCCCTACTCCAACACTTAATGTTTACTAATCTCTTTTACAGTAAAAAAATAAACAAAATACATTATGTTCACTTCTTTTAAAACAAAAACAATAAATTTCTATACTGAGTAATTGCATTTACAAACCTTGACAGCATGTATTTGAAAATTCCACGGCTAACTTGTCAGCATGTGTTTGAGAACTCCATGGCCATCTTTACTACTGGTAGTGAGTATCCCATTTTTAAATACTTATTTTTATTCAATAATATCTCAAATTTTCCATTTATATCTTTTTCAATTTAACCAATTTTCTGTTTGAATCTCTTTTCAATAATATCTCAATTTTTTTATTTAAATTTTTCATTCAATTATATCTTAAATTATCTATTTATATATTTATTCAAAAATATCTTAATTTTCCACACTAAACAAAGACAATGATTGCCAAATCAAACCTGGTCTGTCTATAATTAAACAGTACCATTTTTATGATTACAAATGGAAATTATGTGCGAAGTCTTTTAAAAATAAAATATACTAGAACTATGTCCAGTAAAGGCAAATATTACACTGTTTTTGATAAAGTAGTAAAAAATCATCAACTTCAAAAGCTGTTAAGCATATCAATCCAGTGCTTTGCTAAATCAATGCCAAACGCGTCTTTTATAAGTTGCAGTTTTTAAACTTTACCAAAAACTTGTGTATGATTATATAATACAAACACTTATCGCATAACTTACCTTTACAACAAGTATACAAAGCTATAGAATAGTTCCCAGCATTCCCAGTCTAACCTTCTCACCTGTATGACTAAAATCAGTCTACATCAGTATGTAAATTTAAACCTTCAAAAATAAAACCTTTTAAGTTCTACAAAAAATAATTACAAATAATTCTATTAAGAAAATTGAAAATAGTTCTCTTTAAGCTTTGTTCAGTTTATTACCCATAAGGAACACATCACCTTAATGTCGCTTAAAACTCATCTCTGGTCTTGAATCTCAGGTTTCGAGATTGTGACTTCAATCATATGTCAAAATACTGAATTCAGTATATGATTATCTAATGTACAGTGTGAAAAGTAAGACATTGTCATGTGTATACATGACTGTCAGTATGCACTGAAATACAAATATTTCATGTTTATTTGGTTGGTTTTAATGCCAATTTTAACACATTTTAGTCCTATCTTGGTGCTTGGTCCACCTAACCAGCTTCCTGGATAACTAACCAGTTACATGTATTACCAAATTCTCACCAGCAGAGTAACTACTCACCTCTCATTATTACTGGATCAGTAGTGAGAGACAAATAACCATTAGACTCATATGTTCCAGATCAATCGTCATGAAGAAATTTCACCCCTGGATGACAAATCTGATACTCTCCCTATTTATCTAAGCCAGCCCACAGACTTTCTAACTATGACAACAATCATTACAAAGCCAGGTAGAATTGTATTCTATCAATCCCTGTATCTTGTATGAAATACATTTGTTTTAAAGTTTTATCAAGCTTCATGATGTGTTATGGTCCTTATTCTATTAGATCAAAATAAAGAATTCAAGAACAATCAAAAACAAAACTTTTTTACCTTTATGCTACAAACAGGTGTCTTATCCCCAACAAATGTGTCTTGCTGGTGAACATTTTTACATACATCTTCATGTAGTAATTTCAAATTACAATGTTATAGAACAATTAAGAAAATTAAGACTTAATTGGTCTTAGATCTCTATGTGTGGCCTTGACCTTTGAGCCTTGCAAAGTACTTACTCTCTTGATGGTGAGCATTTGTGCCAAGTTTAAAGAAAAAATACATCAAAGAATGACTAAATTATGATATGGACACCATTTTAGGACAAGCGTCCTACCAAAATATATGTTGTAGCTATTTATTTTATTTTCATTTCTTGAATTAAGGGCAATGCCTTAAATTAACTCTAAGACATTGCAAAACTAGACTTACATACAGACGAAGCAATCACTATTTGCCCACCCATGGGGACATAGAAATCAATGTTAAAATTTATAAAATAAGTATGCAACTTCAAAAGTTCAATGTACTTTACTTTTGAGTCATCATAAAAACCTACCTTGTTCCAAAACATGACCTCAGGTAACACATACAATTGAACATAGTCAAACAAATTTGATCTTTAAACTTGTCTTTAGGTACAACTGAAACTTTACATAGTTTACTGTAACAGAGGGTGAAGGAAACTTATAACAGGATTTGAGTAGAATCACTAACCTAATTGGGAGTAATTGCCCTTTTTCTCTTTTTTAAGAGAAATGAATAGATAAGCCATATAGACAGAACATATTACATACATATACTGGTATACAATACAACATAGAAAATAGAAATCTTACAAACCTGCCAAATCTTAAATTATAATAAAACCATGAATGTCAATACAAATAAGTTGTCAGCATGACAGAACCTACCTGTCTTCTGTAAGTTGTTCTCATTTCAGAATGTACAATGTGTTTAACATTTACTATAACCTTTTTCAAGAGATTTACAAAAATGTGATACAAAGCACAACATTATGATAATCAATCCATTTTATTTTGAATTAAATGTAAACAAAATAATCAAGGTAGGCAACAGGTCACATTTTGGGACCAGTTAAGACCCTGATAACCTACTTATTACTTTTACCTTACTTTTACCTCTTTTACAATTAGTAAATATTTCAATTGTTTTTTTATTTTGAAACATGAATAATCAAAAGCAAGCTGGTGAAGTCCTTTTTTTATGTAAAAGCCATCAAAAATTTTAAGCAATGATCAGGTTGAATGCTTGATATTCTCTCTCTTCAAAAAAAAAACCTTCACACAGTGGTTCAAACCCCAACAGGTCACATTTTCTTCTGACTTACAAGCATTGAAAAAGCAAGTAATTAATCTAGGATGATGTAAATTTGTAAATACTCAATATCGAAATTTAGTGTTTTTGAAGAACAAGTATTCTTCTAAAAAAATAATGAATTAAGTTTTATGCTATTTATTAAATGTTGAGTGTATTGATAATTTGGTACATAATGTATTGGTCTTAAAGTGTCTGAAAATCAAAACTTACAAAAACACTGCTAGTTAGACCATGTGCTCGACTAGTATGAGTGCTAGATAGTAAAGAGTCTACATACTGCAGAAATATTTAATGTTCACAAAAGAAAATTCGTGGTTCCTGGACAGGGACCTCAAATACACATGCAGCCAGTTAACCAAGTGTTACTCTGACCTTGTGGTGTGTAAGAGAGACCATTCTTCAAACACTACATTAGCAGTTAAGCTATTAAGCAAAGGAGACCAATGTTGTCACATGTTCACTTTTTATGTCTAAGACTACATAATAGATTTCTTTGGATTGTTTTTAAGGCATATTACCAATTAAGTATAACCACAGATCTTCCACAAGCAACATGGATAGCTAAATCAACAATAGCAAGTCTTTGACAAGTGTTCATAGGTCAGCCACTATAACTACTCAGCCAGTGAGGCCCTTTTGTATAGTAATTATATTCATATGCTTTTCCTGGACATAAACATATGTATACAATTGTGTATATTTCCATTTGTCTCATGTAAAGAAGTTGTACTGATTACAATATAGTTTAAAGTCAGTAACAAGATTAAAATCACCTCATTACAACTTTTTCAGTAAACATTAGAAAAGATAATTGAAAGATCTATTATTAATTCCAGACACTTACAACCAACACATCTATATACATTTATCACATCTCAAGTTGTCTATATGACTATCACAAATTACTATATATTATCTATAAACATTGCATTTGACTGCAGTAGTGATTAAGTGCCATACCAAAGCCTTTAGAGAGAACAACAACAACAAATGTGTCTGATACATCAACATGGAGGTCTTTTTCAGGCAGACATATCTATGAATATTCACTGTTGTCAACTGACACATATCTCCAAACATATTTCCTCTGAAAATTAGTATTAACAAAATAAATACACCTCAGTTTTTATGTGGCAAAAACTTTTTTCGATGCAATTTTCCTTACAACTTATTTAAATAAACATTATTGAAAAGACTAAACCTAATAAACTGAAAGTATGAAAGTGACATAAAGAAAGACTTACCTTTTTAAATTTATGACAACCATCCTTGTTTTTGTCTGGCATGAAAAATCAAGCATTGTTCAAATACTTGAGGCTACTAGATACTACATCTTACTCATATCCGGTTATGTCAACATCTCCATAATGTTAATACATCTAATTCCTAAATGATCCTTTATATGATTGTATTATTTTAATGTATGTAAAGATCAACTCTTCAGCAGAATATATGAAATTTTAGTCAAGTTACTGAATCTTCATGTTTCATGTTTTCGTATAAGCCACCAACTCGCTATACTGCATGGAGTTGGTGCCCACTAGAACCTGAATAAATTCCAGTTCTGGTGGTGTACCCAAAGCCATTTTCCAACAATATAGACAATTATTTATCATTTTAACTTAAAACACTGTTTGGATGATTTCTCAAGTTGACAAAAAATATCCCCAATTTCAGAAATAATTTTAATTTGCACACCAGTGTGAATTCTATAATATATAATGGAAATGAGTTGAACTCTAATTCTATTAAATGTATAATTCATGCTGCATGTTTGACTCAGACAAACACACACTCAAAGAAAATTTTGCAACTGATCGGTCAAATTTTGTTGTCTGAGAAACTGCAATTTGACCAACAAAATTTATGCAAAAGTCATGACCAAAAATGAAATATCTTCTGTTTCTTGCATTTCACATGACATGACAATTATTTTACTTTTTTATGTTATATGTTATCAACAAAATACTAGCATATGTCCATATATGACATTTATACGCCCACTTAACTTGCTTTCATATTGGCATATTTAAATACTTTAGGATATTTAATGAACACATTGTCAAATTCAATATATGTTTATATAGAAAAACTCCAGGATTTCCATCTTTTTCAATCTGATTAAAAGTTGTGTCAATGAATATAGGTGACAAAATAGTTTTGTCAATGTATAAATAAGTGACAAAATACTATCTGATAAATATTGAATTTCATATTGTCTTTTCAAAAATGTTTTCTATATAAATTTGTTATTAGAGTTTGAAAACCCAACCTGTGTAAGAATGTCACCAAAATGTTACCAAAATGTACATGTATGCAGAACAGAAGATATTTTATTTCCATTTACATGACATGTAAGCTTGAGCATCATTTGACCTACCGTGGTATCTGCTTGAACATCCAAGTATCTAAGATTCTGTAAACATGTACTAAACACTGCATTAGAACATTAATACTGTCGTTAACAACACATGCCTGTTATATTATCTGAAAAACAAAAACAAATGCCTAATAAAAGTCATCATTTCAATCGTTAACACCGTGAAAATCACATCTCACACAGCCATCTGTCTTCTGATCACATTCTACACTTGTTGCTTGCTCTGTAACATCATCTGAAATAACTTTATTATAAACACACCCTTTGATTCTTTGTTTTTTCTTAATTGAATCCTGTTCATTTAATATCTGATTTACTCTTAAACTATTTTAAATAATTTTCTGCAACACCAGGGTCCTTCAACAACAGACTGGTGAAAATGCCCGGTCGGGCTTATAAATGTCTTAAACAAGAGCTGTCGGTAGGACAGCAACGCTAGACTATTCTTAGTGCAGCCTTGATAGTAAAAAAAGCCTTGATTAAAAGGTAAAATTTTCTCAGTAAGAAAAAGGCTAAATTTTTCTTTAAATCCATATTACAGTTATAGGCAGTGGAGAGAGTCCTATTATGCTATCAAAGAAGAGTATAAAATTTCAACATGTTTCAAAGCCTTAAGAACTTTGAAAATATTTGAGGTATTACAGAAACTTTAATGTAAATTTTAAGTCGAAAAAGGGGCATAATTCTGTCAAAATGCTTGATAGAGTTACCTCCTCCTTTTTACAGGTTGGGGTCATGATGGTGAACAAGTGTGCAATGGTTCAAAGCCATATGTCAATGGACTGTGAAAATATTTGAGGTATTACAAAAACTGTAACGTAAATTCCAAGTCGAAAAAGGGGCATTATTCTGTCAAAATGCTTGATAGAGTTACCTCCTCCTGTCTACAGGTTGGGATCATGATGCTGAACACTGCATTGGGGTCATGATGGTGAACAAGTGTGCAAAGTTTCAAAGCCATATTTCAATGGACTTTGAAAATATTTGAGGTATTACAAAAACTTTAACATAAGTAGTTACGCCGACGCTGACGCTAGGGTGTCTACATAGCTCTACTTATTCTTATCGAATAGTCGAGCTAAAAAAATGATATTTCTAGAAAAGAAATAAAGATATTTCTTTTAAACTTTGTTTGTTTAATGAGAATAATATTTGACATATACGGAAAGAAAAATATTTGGCTAAGTACTGTCACTTTTGTCACAAGAATGTTACGTATGCAAAGTCAATGAAAGTGTAAAACAAAATAGGTTAAATAACTTCTTTATACTCTAGTTCATTGCGCCAACCTCTGTCAGCATACATTTCCATCAGGTTTAAGAGAAAACTTCAAAGTATAATGTTCAGTGTCAAAGAATTGTCAAAATATAAATGTCAGAAACAGAATATTTAATCCCAAATTATAGAATAAAGGTATCAATTGGCGCAATAATCTAGAGCAAAATGAAGTTGTTGGAAACATTTCTATTTAGAATTTTACATTACAATATAATTTTTATGAACTTCAAATATTTTGTTTCTGGAAAATGGGAAAAAAGGAAATAATTCTAAGAAAATAAAAGATAACCAAAATATTTTGATTTTGATTATATCATATCTCAATGCTTAATAAACAAAACAAGTGAGAAAGAAACATATTAATTATTTTTCTAGAAATATGATATTTCATGTCTAAGCCCGATGGGAAATTTCCACCGGGCCTGTTCAAATGGAAACAAGACACTTCATCACCCCCACCCCCAAAAAATCAGTAAGACACTTCACCCCTCATGCAATTATAAGCACCTAGGCTAGACGGGTTTTCACAAAAAAATTGATTAAATGACCAGGGATTGTCCTAGGGCGCGATATCCGCGATTTTTCGCACGGACACTGCAAAATTCGCATCGAAAATCCTTAAATGGGAGAATTTATCGCACCGTTACCAGCCGAATGAAATTCCGCTAATTTAGTACTTTCTGACCTAAAGCGCTTTAAATCAACGTCGTCTGGACGATTGCCAAGCGTCTAATATACGCCCTCTTCCTTTTATAAGCGTTTTTCTGTTGTGATCAATATGGCGAAGCCGGACAAGCAGAAATCTCTACTTTCGTTCCTAAAATCATCAAATTCAGATGTAAATAATAATTTTGATGGCGAAACACCATCATCGCCGAAGAAAGCGAAAATAGCAAAAGCAGTATTCCAACACAAATGGCTAAAGTCCTACTTCTGGTTGAAATTTGACGATAACAAAAATGAGATGTATTGCGATCTTTGTAGAAATTTACACTATTGTAATACCATGGCCCTGGGAACCAGTAATTTTAAGACCACAACCCTCCAGAGGCATGCTGCAAGCAGTGATCACCTCTCTGCAGTATCAAACAAGTCACACAGACAGCAATTTAAGGAAGCTGTGCTCAATGCTGATAGCAAGGAGTCTAAGTCGATAATGTTGGTTATGAAGGTTGTATATTGGTTAGCAAAAGAGTGTATTCCTCTTACAAAATATTCAAGTTTAATGGAACTTCTTCAGTTTTTAGAGACTCCAAATATGAGTGCACTGAAAGTTGGTGAGAAGGTAAATTACTCCAGCTATGCGACATTTTGTGTGCCCTATCTGATCTTATTGACAATGATGTGACGAAAAAACTACAAAAATCACCAACCATAACAATTTTAACAGATGAAAGTACTGATATTGTTGTGCATCATAAGTTGTGCATCAGTGCTAGGGTGGTAGACCCAGTCGACTTGAAACCTTCAACTTTATTCCTGTCTGATGTGAGAATTACCTCTGCTACAGGAGAGGGTATCTTCACTGCGCTTGAACAGCATCTTGGTGAAAGAAACATACAGATGTCAAAGGTGTCAGGTGAGTTTCAACAATAAATCTTCAGAGTCTCAGTCATAAAAGACTCAAATGTCAATATTTCAAGCTGTCAGGTCTTTTGAGATAAAAAAGTTCACTCTATCTTGAATTATATTTTATTATTATAGGAACAATTTGATTGAATTATTTGGTATATTTTTTAGGACTTGGTACAGATGGTGCTGCTGTTATGACAGGGAAGAAAAAAGGTCTTACAGGTCGTTTCTTGGAGTTGAACCCTCACCTTATCAACACTCACTGTTCAGCTCATAGACTAGCCCTTTGCACCGAACAAGCAGCTGAGAAAATTCCAGGTAATAAATGTTTTTGAATTTAGGCCACAAATATATCACAATGGACAATAAAAGAGGTCAGCTCAAATGTTATGAAGTTGAACATAATCATATACTTATGTAACACTGCATGTCCAGTCCTTAATCCTTGGTTGAGATTGAAATTACAGGAAGGTCGCATACATTCTTTTGCCATTTTGCTAACTTAAATGGTAAATGTTTTATTTTTCCTTTTTGCAGCAATGAAGTATTATCAGCAGATCTTAGAGTCTATATTTTACTACTTCAAAAAGAGCCCAGAAAGATGTGACAAGCTTGAAGTTGTGCAAAAAGTGTTGAATGATCCATGTTTGAAATACAGAGAAGTTCACCAGGTAAGTTTCAGTTTGAGTTAGCTTTTGCAAGGACTTGTCGTGTTTGCACAACACTCCTCCCTACCTATTCTTAGACTTTTATACCCCTTTCTTGCTTTGAAATCAATTGTACAGCTACATGTATAGAGGGTATACTGCCCATAAATATTCTTAATAAAACTCAGTTTTCTATTTTCTGTACTTTGTTTCATGTGCATTCCTTCTAAAGATCAACATTTATTTGGAAACAATATATTGCTTTTTTATTACAGGTGCGATGGCTATCCTTTTATGAGGCGTTAGATGCAGTCTATCGAACAATGGACTCCCTGCTATCCTTATTCTCAACTTGTAATGATGCTAAAGCTATGGGCTTCAAGAAGAAGCTTGGTGAAGATTTCTTTGTCTATACAACCTACTCCATGATGGATGTCCTTCGTCCTGTTATGGCATTAAATCTATTCTTTCAGAAGAAAGATGTAGATATTGGCTGTGTTCAGGTAAGGTTTGAAGTTTTCAGGACTTACTAGAAGGCTGAAGCTTACCATATGAAGTAATATTTGAATCTTTGTGTTGAAAAACAGAATACAATTTTTTTTTCAGAACGGTAGCACTCTTGATAAAAATAAAGTCATGACCAATTTTTACACGATAATACTTAAATATTAAATTATTTTGTTTTCTCAATCTTATTCACAGTTGTCAGTGGATGCATGCCTTATTGAGCTTAACAAGATGCTGAAAAAGGAAGAGTTATCTTGCCCATTTCTACAAGCTCTTACCGAAGATATGAAGGACAATGTCTACAAAGGGCAACATCAGATAACAAAATCAAAGTACAATTCAGTGACCTGCAGAGAGCAGTTCATCACTGCCCTGATTGACAACATATCAGCCAGGTAACCAAGATTTGAACAAATTCAGATCTGTTTGTTGACTTGATCAAGCTTTTTTTTAAATTTATAAGTATGCCATCACTGTTAGTTGAAGATGCAAAATAAAGATAACAGTATGAATGCTTGACCATTTGTGCACATATGACAGATTAGTAAAATCAAACAAAACTCTTTAAGTACAACTGATATCAGCAATTTTATTTCAGGTTCCCAGACAAGCATATCATGACCAGTTTTTGTGCTTTGAGTCTCAGGCCCATAACATTCCTTGATGGTGAAGAGTTGGAATCCTGGGGAAAGGATTCACTAGAGGTTCTCATAGATCACTTTGGAGCAACACAGTCTCACAGCTATGAGGATAGCAGTGGAGTGAAAAGGGTTGTTACATCAGACCCAGTAATAGATGCCACCAGTACAAGGACAGAGTGGTCACTTCTGAAGAAGACTGTGAAACTTCAGCAATATCCAAGACACAGTACACATGAACTCTGGTCATTGATAGTAAAATTCCATAATGAACAGTTTCCAAACCTGTTGAAGTTGGCAGCTCTTGCACTTACACACCCTGTGCACACAGCAGACTGTGAGAGAGCATTTTCTGCCCAAAATTCAGTGACCACCCCATTGAGAAATCGCCTAACCCCAGAACATTGTGGTCAGCTAATGAGAATCATGATTCAGGGTCCAAAGCTGCAAGAGTTTGACTTCAAAGAAGCTTTGTGTTTATGGCAAAAGGCAAAATCCAGAAAAATCTTCCAGTAAATTGTAATCCTGCCCGCAGCCTAGTTGACAACACTGCCTTAAACAATGACAATTATGACATTCATTGAAAATTCCTGCTTGTTAATACTCAACATGCATCATGCTATAATTTTAACTTAAGTTAATGGAAAATAAAATTTGAGTATACTATATACATGTACTAGTCAAAATTGTTCTAGTCAAATGGTATTATATATTAAAATGGTTGAATTTGATAAACTCTTATTTCTTAAATTGAAAATCTCATAATTTTTTTATAAATGGGAGAATTTCTCTCACAGAAATTAGAAATCTCTCACAATATTTTTGCAAATGGGAGAAATTCTCTCATGGAAAATTTGAGCTAGGATAATCCCTGAATGACAATTTAAAAGTATGGAGTTACTGGTTTTAGAATATGAAAACACATTTTCCTTGAATTATAAAAATTGACTCTTCAATAAATTTATGAATTACAAACATGCCAAGGTGCTCAGTGTCTGCGAAAAATGGCCTAGGGTGAACTGTCTGTAAATCCTTCTAACCTGGTAAAACACAGAAAAGATGGAAACTTAAGCGTCTATTAATTAAAGCGCAGATTGCTTTAAACATTGCACTGCCTTGAATCAGGATTCATCAAAATGAAACCCACTGCTGTAATTATCATTATATACCATTTCTTCAATATCTTTAAATAATTTTCTTACACGGCCACGACGTCGACGGCTGAAAACGATTCCCTTGAGAACGACAGCGTGTTCTTTTTAAATAACGAATTGGAACAACTAGTGCGATATACCTGAAACAACTTCCGATTTAAACATAAAGTAATTAAATAAACTAAAGAAAAAAGATAATGCCATACTTTTTACTGCCGTGGATTTGCTTAAATTTGTTGAGATAAACAGCTACATAAATTATAAAATTTAGTCGCCATTTTGGCCACGCGCACATTCGGAATAAGTCGGTTTTGTTTAAGGTTGAACATTACTATATGTAGAATGTAGAACACCGCTAATTATATTCATGCAACCTTGCATACGATTGGAATGTAAGCCTGGTGCCACTGCTCTGAAAGTGACTCATTAATCATATGAAAAGGTGACTTCACGTGCAATTTTTAAATATTTATAAAAACTGATTATTCCCTGATTCTCTAAAAGAAGCTTACGTTTTCCATATATACTCAACATCATTAATTCTGCGTCATCACTAATTTCACGGTAATAGCATATTTTCACGTGACCAGTGTTAGAATTGGTTAGAAATGACATATTTTATTCATACACCCTAAACAACAAAGTTTTTGTGCAAAATATTTTAAATCTCTAGATTTTTACACAAAACAGAACAAAATTTTACAAATTTCTGCTTAAAGCAACTCGTGCATTAAATGTGTGCGTATGTCTAAAATAATCTTGATTTTCTAAATGTTCTTGTCGGTTGAAAAAAATAAATTTTAGTTACAAAGAAAAGATAGTTTTAATATTTAAAATTAAGCAAAATAACATCTAGGAATTTTTACTGAAACATGAAAAAACTGAAATTTAAAACTATTAGCGCGATTTAAATGATGACACACTGTTTTCAAATTGGCCAACATATGGTCTGCATCTGGTACATTAAATTTGACTGAATATATTGTTGTTTCCTTGTGTCATGCAGTAGAAAATACCTATATGTTATAGCTTATGACAATTTTTGTACCATTAGTTTCTTTTGTTGTTTTCTTTCTCTTTTCAAAGCGTTAAGTACCGTGAACTTAGAGCCAGGAGAGCACAGTATACAAGACAATAAAGAATTGAGTCCGAGCAACTATTGGCATGATTAATAAAATCTGATCAATGTTGAGTCCGTACCATTAATGTCACACAGCACTTATTTGGCTATTAGAAGGCATAGCTAACAGATATAGATTTGAGTGATATATATATATATATGTTGGAATTTTAGATCAAAGAAAAGCTTTTGTAAATGTCATCATTTTTCATCATTTGTCAAATAAAAGTGTCCATCTTCTCAAATCTTATTTATCAAACAGAACGCAAGTAGAAAAAGCTGAGCGTACTATGTCACTTAGCAGGCTTACTTGGTTTCGGTAATTAAGAACACGTTTTCTTTTACTAGCGGACAATTCACCGCATTTTCATGTTTTGGTGCATTGTCGGTTCTAAACAATTTCAGTACATCCTCTTATCATTTCCATCAGAGTTTGAGAGGATCCCTGATAGAATCAATGTCTGATTTCTGGTCATTTACACACATTACAATTTATGACAAAGCCATTTAACATAATTATACATTTATGCAAGTTTTTTATAAATCTATATCATAGCAAAAATAGTACATTGGTATTAATATCCAATAACATTTTGATTACACTAAAATAACCTTATCCGTCTGTCAATGACATAAAATTTCTAAATTACGCAAAACTTTCTAAGTCTTAAAGGCAAACTACGCCTCACAAATGAATGAATTTTCCGTGCATGCATAATTTCTATAACATTTTGATAATGGTTTTCAGACATGTTAGATGCTTTTCACCTAAAGAAAATAACGCTGAATGTGCATTACTTTGTAGCTAAATATAAACAGAGCAGTAATTTTACTTCTATATTAAATACTAAATTACTGTAACAGTGCTAATAGCCAAAAAGCAACAGAAGGAAAACATGTATCAGAGAATTAGGGAATTAGCCAATGAGTTACTTTTTGACAATTTTAATAGGGTACTATAACTAAAGCTTTTGAGAAATAAAAATGAATGGTAAAAGCATGTACTGTATGGGGCATAATGGGCCTTTAAACAGGTAAGAGATTTTTATCTTAAAAAGACTGCATCAAAATTTATGACAAAATGTTAACTTTGGAAAAAAATATTGGGGAAACAGTTCATATTTAAAAAAAAAATTCAAAATAGTTATAATAGTCGTTCAGTTTCAAAGAAGTACTGTCCATTATCATATATTCTGCTGTTAACCACCGTATCATTTTAACGGTCTTCCGTGATATTGAGAATAAAATACTTACTGGATTCATTTGGGTTAAGTGAAACAAATTGTATATACCGCGTACATTTTCTTCTAAAATGATTTTTTTTGTCATCTATGTTACTAAATAATATTCAAGTACGTTATCCAGAAAAGAAAAGACTATAGTTAATGATATTTGCCTTTATACATAAACACGGTAACTTCTTGAAAAATATATATGTAAAGATGAAAGAAATCCTTTGAAATAAATATGATACACTCTATTAACTGTAGCAGCCCCACACTTTTCAGAGGAAAGTGGTATACTGTTTACATCTCCCGTCGCAGACATCTCACAGACAAGCTACATATCCATCAACATGGAATGATTTCAGTGGGTATAGCAATTTAAATATTTAAGACTCCATTTAGATTTTTGACATGACGGGACTGAAAATGTATGTTCGAGCTTAATGTTCTATTTGATGTAGACCTAGACCAATAACATGTGTGTAAAATGTCAGATCATTCGCTCACTCCGTTTTTTCCAGAATGATTATTCTAATTGTGAAAAAATGATCAAAAATTGAAAAGCGTTGTAACGCTTTTCACTCAAAATAGTAAAAATACGATTTTCAATTCATTCTGACTATATTTCTTCAATGTCGATTGCATATTTTGCTGTTTTAAGTGCTCTGTAGGAATTTCAAATTTAATGTTTTAATGCTTTTGGACCCAAAGGAAGTTCCTTTTAAAGGATAAAATAAATATTCATCAGTATATTTTTGTATTTTCATGTAGTTGGTTCTCGTCTAGCGTATGTTTACATTAGTCTATCAAATTGGGGAAAAAATGTGACATAAATAATGATAATAATGAAACGATAATTGTCATAGCGCAACAGTGCTGAAGACTTTTATACAAAAGATAGTCAACATTGTTGTTGATCATCTTGATGGAAACATTTGAAATCTGCAGCAAACAAAAGAAGTCACGTTTTTTACCCACTTTGCTCACATGGGTTAGGACAGGAGTCGCTAAGCAAGGCAAAATTTCTCCCGAGCATTGAGTTTAATGGCCATTAAATTATTTGTCTCTCACGCTGATTCAGCAGTCACTACTGGTTAGTTATCCAGCAAAGCCGGATCGGTTTATGATAGAAGTGTGATGAAATCGGAAAAAAATCTAAGTAAAAGAAATCAATATTTATTTTGAGGTCCATTTCCATACCCATATCTGAAGTATGACTCACGTTAAAAGAGTCGAAAAGTAGCAGTTGGTTAATAACAGCGTTCAGTTATTTTACTCAGTTATTTACTTATTGGAGCGGCGCTAAAATATCATCATTTTGCAGAGAGATGGGATTTATAAGTTTTCATAGTTTTCTGTCAAATATGCTAAATACTGTTTATTAATAAAATGTTCTTAAACTAAATATTCTGCATTTATGTTTGCCTTTTAAAGACATTGTGATCCTTGTAAGCGGATTTGAATACTAGATATATTAAACATTTTTAAGCATATATATATTCTATTTAACGAATCAATATGTTTGTAAAGTTCAAAATCACATGGACAATGATTTAACATCCGGGTACTACGGATTTTCCGTCTCATGATTACGCGCGTGATAAGACAATATTAACTTCCTGTAACTTCATTTAACAATATACTTTGTATTTCATTTCAAGTTTTGTAGTGAACATTGATATAACTGATATTTTTCAAAGGATAAAAATGTCTAATGTAAGTAAATGATCTCAGTTAAAATATACTATAATCTATATACATTTATTTCGGTTTATATTATACACGTACAAACGTTAACGTTCTTACCAAACACATATATTATATCATCGCTGGGGATGTCAATATCTTTTAAAAAAGATAATTGTACTTTAAATAGATACTTTTATAGATTGAGGTACTTTAAAATTATGTGCTTTAAAATGATGTACATTAAAATGAAGTACATGTACTTTAAATATTCATAGTAATTTGATCTGTATACATGTTTTTTTACATTTAAAGCTAATTATCACAACGTTTAATAGCAGACACTTTTTATCTAGTATCTGCATGCGCTCCATACATTCGGATGTGAGGTTTCACAGACAACCTCTGATTAAAGATTTAATTTTTAACATACATGTATTTACATGTCCACTAAGTAATCTTACGTGTCAAACTGCAGATAATTGTAATAATTGTTATATTTGTTGTAATTTATATTGTTTGTCAAGGATGGTAACTGGACTCATGGGTTATTCAACTGCTTTGATGATATTAGCATATGTATACTGTCATATTTCGTCCCGTGTGTCGTATTTGGTCAGAACGCAGAGAAAATAGGAGAAGGAAGTTGTTTAGTCTGTGGTATGTAGTCCTATATTACATGTTATAATTTAGTTCCTTGTTAATACCCATTGCAATATTTTATTTGTTTATTTTTTATTGGAAATCGATCGCCAAAAAACATGGATTATATGTCGTCTTTCCATCTGACACATGATACTATTGAATGTCCATCTGTATACTATACATATGTATTTAAGTGAGAGATGTTCTGTAAAAAATGGGAATAAGTATGACGGTCCCGACCAGAGAGGATAATGTAAAGTGATAAGAAGTCAGCTAAACTTACTATAAGACTTCTTTGTAATGTCAAATAAGTCATTTTGAACAAACGGTTGTAAAATATTTGATTCAATTTAAGTTTGCTTTATATAACTTCTATTGATATATTTTAGACAGTTAAACAAAGTTTAAACACATAGTTCGTCACAACATGCAGATGCATATACCCAAGTCGCATGTCTGAAATAAGTCCTCAGTACACGGTACCGTCTGGAGAGATGCTGTGTAAGCCTGGTCGTGCATGTTGCCACTTTATAGCGTTCTCGGTTGACTGATGTTGGCCACATATCCAATGTCGACGCTCTTTGACAGTGAAGGTGTTTCCGAAAAAATAAACACGTCGGGCTAACTACACTTCACTTCTTTTATCAAACTGATTGCATAACAGATAAAACGAAGAAAATCAGAATCCCGGTCCTTATCCCTCTTATAATCATAAGTATCGTCTTATACATTACACAGAGGCCTCTTCTCTCACAACATTTAGTAATTAATGTAACCGGGAAAATAAGTATATCAGTATACTGGGCCGAACACAATTCTTAATGGTCCGAACGCACACCAAATTAAATTGTCCTTTCTAAGCCGACCGAATAATATGTCAGGGTGTCGGGGTAACGTTGGCGGCAATTTCCGTTGTACTATGATCAGTATTGGATCGAAGTTGATTAGTCATGGCCGTTGTTGTTTTAAAACTATACGATAAAATATTGCTGTCTATATTATCTATTTCTAAGAAAATTATTTATTCCACATATAAACAGAGAATCATACCTCCCTGTAAAATATAATTGTAAAACTATTGAAATTTACTTTTCTATTTTTCAGGTTTGGTTTATTTCGTGCCAATTCTAAATCTTATTGAATGGGTAAACATTCGTGGAAAAATTCGAGAAAATAGTGGAATAATCGGCACACCTCTGAACGATTGTCTGACAATATTTTTCTGTCCTCTTTGTGCGCTTGCACAGGAAGGAATGGAAGTAAAAGGCATTCCTGGGCTTATGTCCATGAGCAGAAGTTAGGACAATGGAACCAGTCATTGTCGCTATAATGAGGAAATGCTTAGAGTGCTTTCCATTCGTTTCTGTTGACTGACTGTTTATGTGCTTCTGTTTATATTTTAAGATATAATATATTCCTTACATGTAACATTGTACAATGTAATCATCAGTGGAGATACATTTACCACATGTATTATGTTTTATAATATAATTATACAGATACATGTTCATACTTTTCTAAACGTGTGGTTGAATTTCTAGACCTTATTGATTGGTTTGAGCTGTTGTTTGCCTAGTAATTTTGGCATGTTATTATGCGAATGGTAAAAAAGCGGCAGTTGATTTTAACAATAATGAATCGATCATAGTTTCATTATACAAGTATTCTAGTTCTTTGTTATAGCACTCAATTTCTCAAACCAGTACACTTTACTCACGGATATGTAAATAATATTATAGATGTCACTTCAAGTAGCTAATGGAAAAATATTAAGAGGATATTTTTTCGTTTGAGTGAAATATGGAATATTATATGGAATGGTTACGAATCCCACTGCTTGCTACGCAACTGCAATTGTACAGCGCTTATTGCGTCTTGTTTTGCACGCGATATTTGGCGCCACATCACGTAAACGACTCTTTAGTATTAAACGTCTGTACAGGGTTAATAACTGAATTAAAGATATTGGTGTACGGTTGGATCATTATCTATCATTCTAGATAATATGTCGTGGCCACGAGTTACTAAGTCGTGGCCACGAGAAAGTTAAGTCGAGCACACGAGATAAATAACCAACCAGATTACACTATTTATATGAATTTTCCTAGTTAACTAAGAGATGTGCTATATAGATCTTTTTACAATACGATTCGATATTGCATTTCGCGCATGCGCATTCTGCGAAGGGCAAAAGCGCTGTAAAATTGAGAACAGTGTATGATACTTTAAGGTTTAAATAGTCGTGATTCCATTTTATGTCAACCAGAAAACAGTAATTTTGGGATGACTTAAAGCGGTAAGTACTTAAAAAGTTAATTGATATTAAATTTTATAACAGATATAATAAATATGCAGGACTAATAATCCAACGGTCAAATGGCGCACACAAAAGTCGCCTGTTTAAGGTATCATTAGACTACTTTTTCATCTGATCATTTTGATATTATGTATATATGTTTATGTCATACACTGTTCATTATTGTGCATGTTTAATGTCCTCATCGGCTTTAAAGCCTATTGGAATAAAAGAAAATGTCCGTGTCTACTATAATAAAAAAACTGTAAGGCTATGTCGCGCAAATATATCTAACGTCATAGTGGCACAACGTCACGCTAAATGGTAGCGTTTCAATATTAACCGCCCGTCCGATAAACAGGAAATTTCTTATTAACTAACTTTATTGATGTTTTTCGCATAACATTATTTTCTAACTCATTCAATAAATTCAATAAAGTACCTACACTCATTCATTATTCTCTGTTATGTATTTTTCTTTCAATGAGCGACCAGATGAATACACACAGGCTCATCTCATCTGGATGTAAGCTAGTCGCAATCACTTTTTATGTTTCAAATATTAAGATTTCCTTATCAGAAATTTGTTAGGAATGATTTTAGACTTTTTCTTTGGAAAAGAAAATATATCAAGCCGTCTGTGCCTTTTTAACATTTTTGCTCTGCTGAATGCGTTTCTTCTTTCTGATAAGGAAATAAGACCATAATTATCGCACAACACTGGCGAAATTTAATGTGAAGACAATAATACACAAAATGTTTCCTGAAAGTGGAGGCTTTTCTTTCCACAAAATATTTTCAAACTATACACGTGTGTTTTAATTGGTATATTAACAACGAATATCTATTATGCCACCAGCTAGAAAGATATTTATACCCGATGGTGCAGCATTGTTCAATTATTTATTTTTGACCTGACAAACATTTTTTCAGATATCTATCATTTCCTACATACAAATAATTCATTATGAGCTGACTGGGCAAATGGAAATCCACCAAGTAGAAAAATGCGCCGTACGTTATCATTCATATTCTAGCCAGAATGGGCATGGATGCTTACTTGACAACATATTACAACTTTTTAAAGTCAGTGGTTTCAGTAAATATGCATATATGTAAAAAGAAACAGTGAATTCGAGATAAGAAGCCGTACGTTATCACGATCAAACCGGTGGAAAATTCTTTCGCTTCGAATCTGGTGACGCGCATTTCATATGAACTACGGGACGAAACATCATGAATGTAATCATGTGTGCCAGGAAAATTGTGGAGAAGGTGATATGTACCTTTACACAAGAACATCACGAATTTCAGAGAAAAAAAAGGGATACCCTACTTTTTGGCTGCATCCGCCATCTTGTTTGTTTGGGTATCGAACGGCGTGATTCTCCCCCTTGGAAACTGGTAATATCTTTTTCATTTGATGCACGTCTGAGCCATAGGCCTAACTTGTGTGCAAGATTTCAGATTATTCGCTCACTCAATTTTTCTAGTATATGTGCAAAATGACCCAAAAATGAAAAGTGGTTAAACGCTTTTAACCCAAATCGGACAAGAATTACACAAAATCGGGATTTATATATTACATTGTAATTAAGATCCGTGACAAAATAGAGTTTATATCTAAATCAAATCTGAGTATATATATATTTATTATATACCTATAAATGAAATATTGAGAAATATTGATGAAATAAAATGCTTATTTTCATTTTCGTATTTTCACTGTAAAAAAAGTATTTTAGTGAAACATATTTTCCGTGTTTTCACTGGTGTCTTGCCGGACTACTTTCGTTTAAATTTTGCCAGTACACACAATTTAAGGACTAGTCTTCCAAACTGAAATTTAAAAATAGAGACAAATGTATATCAGGGCTGGGAATCAAAACTGCGTCGTATCCTACAAAATGTAAACAAACGCCGCCATCTTGGAACGAAAAACGTATGTTTTTGTTTATAACTCTTTTTGTTGGAAATGACTGAAAACAAGATATATGTATTAACACGCTACACTATTTTCCGTGTATAAAATATATCATGTATTTACAGAAAAAAATTGAATATCCTCTATATTTTTTAACATCTTTTGCATATGTGTCCGTTTTAAATGTTCATGCAGTTTATTTATGTAAGAATGTACTTTTTATGTGTTTAGGTGTTAGGACCTCAGTGGAGCTCCTTTAATTAAATACCTTAACAAACTTATATATTATAAACCGTTTTTAACTTGAAGGTCCCAGCTTCTTTCAATATTTCATTTTGATACCACTTCCAATTGCTCTTGCGTTTTAATGCTCAAATGCCGAATAGAAACTGTTTCGCGCATGTCATGTCACGTGATGATGTGCCAACCACGTTAACTTTTTGGTCATTCTGAATAATCCAGGCGGGGAACAATAGTTTCATGTAATTACATAGCAAATTTAATCATGTGACTGACAAGAGATCGAAAATGTTTTGCTGGCGTCTTTAACGGATTTTTTTAGTAAAGTTTTTTAGGTGAGAATCAATCAGTGGTTAAACATATAAGATTGTCCCCGAGCGCTCAAGATTCATGGTCGAGTGATTTTCGATGCACTTTACTGGTAGCTACATTTGCGCTAAGTTTGTGAGATGGATGTTACGGTAACGAAAGTATGGGAGGTTTGGAATTGTTTCTTTTATTTTAGGATGTCGAAGAACTAAGTATCAATCAAAAATGTAAGTTATTATATATTTTATTAAAACTATATAGCCGAAACATATTATTATTACACATGAAAATCGGGAAAGCGTTACTGTTTTTTAAAGGAAAAATGTAAATATTTCAAAGAAAATCCGGGATTATTATGTTATTGTATCACATAAATTTTGAAAATTATCAAAAAAAATTCGTAGGTGCAATTTGTTTGACACAAGTTAAAATTTCCATTAATAAGGACTTTAATTATAAATTAGCATTAATCATAAGAATTATACGTGTTAAACTTTTAATTTTTCATGTGACGTTTCTATCATAGTTAAGCAGTTAACGGTATTTTTGATCATTATTCATATAATTTACTTAATTGTAGCCATCTAATCAACAGGGTGGTGCATGAAAATGCCCTATCGGGCTTATGACATAAGAAATCATATTTCTATAAAAATAATGAAGATATTTCCTTTAAACTTTGTTTGTTTAACTATTTATTTTAAGACAAATGAGTTTTAACTTTTCTTCGTAAGTTTTATCAGTTTCAGAAGATGAAATTTCGAACATGCAAGTAATCATACTATACATACAAACATATGAATAATTGATAGTTGGCATATGAGGTCTAACAAAGTTTTGGCACGGATGATTGACGTGTGATATGTTAAAATGATGGCCATGTTGATGACAATGTTGTTGTTTATGGTAATGTTGATGAGGACGTCCATGGGTGTAACAATGATGATGAAATGGCGTTGTTCATGGTAGTGAGCAATCATCAGGTAAATCTAGTTATTTATAGAAACTAGCTTTTTTGGAACTATTTATTTTAAGACAAATGAGTTTTAACTTTTCTTCGTAAGTTTTATCAGTTTCAGAAGATGAAAAGGAACCAATGAACATGCAAGTAATCATACTATATCAGGCCATGCTTGTGGAACAAGGACAGCACACATTATGCAACGTAAAAACAGCATACTTATTTAATTCAATTTTTCATTTGGAAAATTTGACATAAGAAATTTGATATACATATATACATGTAAATGATATTATGTCAGTAACTGAAATTGCGTAGAATTACAAAATTTTATTTTAGAAATGAAGATTTTTTTTTCAAAATTGAAAACTATGTTTTATGTTTATGTATATTGACGATATTTTGTGTGCATTGTTTATATCGATTTTGGTTGTTTTGGTTTCTTTCTCAAATTTTTGGAGTTGGTGTGTGATTGGAGTTATTAATTTGGGTTTGGTGTTTTAGTTTGTCTCTGTGTGGGAGTTGTTTATGTGTGTTATGGTAGTTTTTCTTTGTCTTTGTTGGAGTTGTTAATGTCATTTGTGTGTTATGGTAGTTTTTCTTTGTCGAAAATTCAGGCCTTATTTCTGAATAGTTTGGGAATTGGTGGTCGACAAGACAGTTGATTCTTTGCTGATACATAATGTGATCGATTTGAAAATTTTGGATTTTGTTATACTAGTCGAATTTTTATTATTCATCATTTCAAATAGTTATATCAATTTCATTAGAAATGGGAGACACATTTATAGT